GACTTTGGGTTGTGAATTTTTGAATGGGTCCAAAAGAACCCGAAACGGACTGCATTCGGAGATGAACCTGTCCACAACCACTTGTGGTGGGTACTGAAATCCAGAGCCATATGTTTCCACTCCAAAAGGAAGTTTGTGCCAAAATGGCGATGTTTGACATCCCACCAAATCTGTGACATGGGGAATTTTGAACTTCCGCGCTTTTGAGCCAGTTGGGAAGTCAACACCAGTCGGGAAGCCCCCGCAATTGCAGAATCCACACGTGTAGGGGGTGGAATCCTTGAACCACATGAGATCACCTTGGGACGCCCTGTGAGAAGCCATGGAGTGAGCGGCCCGGAAACCGGTTCCCGGGCGCTTGGTTTTCGGAGGCGCTGGAAAAGCTGGAGGCTGAGAAGGCGGAGCTGGCCAAGAGGCTCCAGGCGAGATCCATGCGCCGGTTTGTTTTTTCCTTCTTTTTTTTTCCTTTTTGTTTTTCTTCTTTTTTTCTTTCTTTTTCTTCTTCTTTTTCTCAGCCTTTTTGGGCTCCTTTTCTTTGTTGGAAGCTGGGGACTTTTTCTGGATATACATATATATAGTTGAAACACCCGCTGAAGTGAGCGGCATTTCGGGTTTGGGTTGCAGAAGCCTGGTGTTGCTTGGCTCAACCCTGGCATGCGCCGTTCCAAAGGATCAAAAGGACCATTTTGTTCCTTTCCTGGGAGCGTCTAGGGGGGGCGGTGTCTTCTAACCTTGCTGGCTTCCTCCCAAAAGCGGTAAGATCCCATTGAGCAATTGGTTACCTAGATGAAAGCGCCTGATTGACCACTTGACGAGAGTTGTTGTTGGCCAATCCCGGCCGGCCCGTTTTCTCCCGCGACTGCTCTGAGAAATTCGTCTTGTTCTAGTCGCCTGCGCGTTTTGCCAAGCACCTCCCCAATCCCCACAAGATCACAAGACCGCGCTGACGGGTTCCGACGGGTTCCGACGGGTTCCGACGGTTTGTGTCGGGTGAGCCTCGGGTGAGCCTCGGGTCCGGTGCCCGTAGGCGCTGGAGGAGACGCAGAGGCAGGCGCAGCAGCGGGTCCGGGCTGGAGAAGCCAAAGCCCAGGCGGCCGGCGACGCCTCCAGGCGCGGGATTTCGGAGCTCGCGTTTTCGGTGGTGCCCTTTTCGGGGTTGGAAGGGAAAATCAAAGGACGCCTTTGCCATTTAAGGGGGTTTCAGAGAAACGCATGCGAACTTTAAGAGTTGGAATCACCAACCGAACTCTGTCCAGTTCGGGTTCTTGACCCATGAACATTCACACTTGCTTCAAACCTTGTGGGGTGACGGGACACCAAAAAGAAAACCAGTTTGTGTCCTCTATTTTGCCACGGTTTGTTGAATTCTTGTTTTATCCCGAAGCAAAGGTTTCGTGTCATACCAGCCAGTGTCGAAACAACCCTGAAAGCCTTTGAACCATCCCCACGCCGGAACCCCCACATCACCAAGAAGATCAGCACACAGTGAATGTGCTATTTCCCCGGGACAAATCACATGTTGCCGCTGCAAAGGGGAAATGTTCGACCCGAGCGAGCCACTTCTTGCTCTGCGCGTCCGTGGTTTCGACCTTCAGGCGGCTGGTGCAGTTCCTCAAGAAGCTCAAGGGGGAGGTGGGCCACTTGAAGGCGCCGGGCTGCGCCCGCATCCTCGCGTCTTGCAAAGGGGGCTGCTGGCCCTGGTCTCGCAGAAAAAAACACCCTATGTCTACGTTTGGTAATCAGAGCATGTTTTTGCTTGAGAGGTGTTGAGCTTGGGACTGGCCAGGATTGTTGCTTTTTGCAGGCGGCGTAGGGCTTGCACAAGAATGGGCTAACGCCCTGCCCGGCCCGAACAATGAGTCCAGGGGCGAGGGCAGGTGGGAATTCTGGAGTGGAGGGAAGCCCCAGCCCTTTTCAATGGCTTGCTTGTCCATTTGGCTAGTTCTGATCAGGCTGTGCAAACCATTTTGGATTGGGATGCTTTGTCTTTTGTTTGATCGACTGTGTATCCCTGAGGTAAGCATGCTTCGGGTGCCTTTTATGTTCCCAACACGCATGTAGCTGGCCTTTCCTCCTTTGCAGGCAGGTGAGCAGGCTCTTAAAAAGCAAGGGTACCAGTTCCCCCAGAACTCGATACGGAGTTTATTTAATTCATGCATGGATCAGGGCTACTTGACACCCAAGGCAACTTTGCTGGTATGAGGGAGACGACACCCTTGGAGCAGACATCATTCAACTGGTAGCGGGGTAGATCGGTTACAGCTTGCACTTGCCATCCCCGAAGCTTTGGCTCACAGTCGGCAACGCTTGAGATAGAGAAATCGCTTAAGGAAAGAGCAGGGAGCGCTCAACAAGAGCGCCATGGGGGCTCAATGCTGCTCCTACTCGGCGCCCATCCCGGGCTATACTGGAGCCAGCCATGAGGAGATGCTTAAGGCCAGAGAGGGGAGGGGTGGGTTGGAAGTCAGGAGGCGCTGTGCTGTTGGAAAGGTCGGAGGCCTAGCAGAAACGCAGAATGCAAGTGAGTCAACAGCTGCAATTCAAGGTCCGCTGCAGACGCAGGACGGCATTTCAATTGCCAAACCGCAATCTATCTTTCAATGAGGACAGCAGCTGAACACAACATGAGGCTGAGATCTGTTTCCCTAGAACTGACTAATTCACCATGATCGAATGACCCGATGTCTTGGTCTCCTGTTTGCTGGACCACCTTTAAGTATCTCCTGTTTGCTGGGCTGACAAGATCTGATGGGCTTGTTGGAAGGAGCAGCGGCAGAAACGACGACCCTTTCGACCCTCTTGTTGGTTTGAGTTCAGGGCAGCCCCTCATGCTTTCAATAAATTCAACCAGCAACAGGGCAGTTTTGCAACATGTTTTTTCTTCTTTGGACCAGACATTTATTGCTTGCCATGGCCCTGTTGTTGCAACGGAGTCTGTGTCAGAACTTCGGCGACCTCAGCGAAGACGCGGGCATGGCCTCGGTGGTGGCGGCCCTGGCTCAGATTACCGAGGAGCATCCGTACCTGCCTTTCGGCTGCCCGAAGGACGGCGTTTTGAGGACGGCGGGTTTTGGAAACTGGCTGGTGGGAAAGTGGGGAGCCAGAAGAGGACAAGACATGCTTAGGGTCTATGCTTTGAGACCCCCGCAAACATTCTGCTTTGTTGGGTGTCAAGCTTGAGATTGGGTCCTTGCCAGCCAGACACCGATGCAGCCAAGGAAGCCGATGGGCACGGAGCCCACGCCGCACCAGCTGCTTTACTGGGTGCGGAGGCGGGCTCCGGGGTCCCAGGCATGCCTTTTCTGACCACCTTCTTTGGCCATGCAAAGTATCACCTGGCGAACCAATAAGTAACTTCTCTTTGCTATTCTTCTTGGCAGGCAACTCACCATTGTTTCTATGGCTGGGCCCAACAAAACCTGAAGCGCCGGGCACCATTTTCCGATGGGAAAAGGCCATATTGCGCCCAAGTTAACTCTTTCATTTTTTACAGGCCAGTGGCTTCCAACACCGGGTGGCTGATGGCTCCCTTGGCCTGGTTTATACCTTGCCCCTTGCCCTGGTCCGCCTGGCCTCTTGAGGAAGTTAGCAAATTGGACAGGCCTCACCTGATTCTTTGTCAAGCTAATGTGAATTCCCAGTACCCCCCCCTTGGTATCCCTTTGTTATGATGCCCTGAGCTCCCCTACTTTCACAGCCGCAGCTCCTATCGCACGTTGCTGGCCCCCGTGCCTGTCGCTTCAGGTGCCGCGAGTTCATCATCCTGCGCAACCCTCATGAGGCTATGAGCTGCGTCGAGCGCATCAACCGCAGCACGGGGCTCAACCGAATCGAGTCAGCGCGCGCAAAGCGCGCGCAAAGCGGCGATGCGAAGCGACGTAGCCGGGCCGGTTGTTGTTCACACGTACAAGGGGTACGTTTTGTTGAACTTGGTCAGACGCCATCTTCTTCCGTTTGCACTTTTCAACTCTTTGGATTTGCTCCATCTGAACATATTTTGCGAGAGCTCTAGGTTGAGTCAAGCCGTGGCTGTCAGAAGAGTGCCCATGGTTGAGGTGTGATGGCCATCCGTCGGCCATAGGCGTCGGTTAGAACCATGGCCTCCCTTTGAATCTGAGGGTACTATTTCCCACTTCGTATGTCTGAACAAACAGCAACACTGACGATCCGCGGCCGCATGTTGCCTCAGAAAGCAGTTTTGTGCACAGACTTGAGCTGATCAATACACGAATGTGAACCCATCCCCGCCTTGAATCAAGTGACGTTCTTCTTCCAGTCTTGACCTTTGCGATGAACAAACAGTGGAGCTGTTGTCCTGAGGTCTGAAGTACGAGATTGCGCAGATCCTGGATGCATTCCGCAGGCAAATGGAGTCGCCGGGGCAATTGAGTTCTCACCGCACTCTGCGGATGTTGGTTACTTCTTTTTGCTGCTCCTGGTGTTGTGCAGGCGCCAACAAACAGGTTGATTTTCTGCCACCCGCAAACAGCGGTACAGATGAAGCAAGAGTTCGCGACGAGCTTGTCCTTCGCATGTGCACCACCACTTCTGCCGCACTTGAGCCATCTTGAGCCCCAAGAAAAAATCCGATGTTTCCCGCAACTCTGACACGGTGAAAGCCACTTTGAGGTTCGGAGTTTGGATTGCGCCCCCTGGAGGGGAGACCTGAGACCTCCCAGCTCCACGACTTTTGTCAGGTTCGACCACGACAGCTCAGGGCATTTGGACCAGGCGGAGTTCAAGTATCTCTGCGCCTACCTGGGCGGCTCGGAGCTGGAGGAGGGTTTCAGGAAACCCTGCCCAATGGAAGCTTTCCTACTGGTGGTAACATGGGGGTTTTGGCAGACTACTTTCCTTTTGGGGACCGATCGGCTACTTCCAGGATTGGACAGAGGGTAGTTGGTTGTTGGGATTACTGGCTTCGGGATTTGCACCCAGTCTTCTAGAGGGCAAATGGTAAGCCACCTCGAAACGTCAGACCCACCAATCCAAAGCACCAAATAGAGGGAAGCTGATTGGTGGCCAGAGATATGAACTTTTTCTGGAAGAAGCCCAGCAATGCCAAGACACAGTAGCGCCCAGGCAGAGGATGTGTTTGATTTAAATGTGTATGCTGTCCTTTTGTTTACTTGTTTATCAGTCTTTGTTTGTTTCTGTCAGTGCCCGTCTGTTTCTGTTTGTCCGGTCTGTTTCTGTCTGTGTGTCTTTGTCTGTGTGTCTTTGTCTGTGTGTCTTTGTCTGTGTGTCTTTGTCTGTGTCTGTCTCTGTCTTTGTTTGTTTGTCTTTGTTTGTGTCCGAGCGTCTCTCTCGCTCTCTCTCTCTCTCTCTCTGTCTCTCTGTCTGTCTGCCTGCCTGCCTGCCTGCTTGATTCTTGCTTGTTTGGCTCTTTCTTTTTCTGTCTAGCTTTGTCTGTGCTTGTTCGTCCGTCTGTTTCTGTCTCTCTCTGTCCTTGCCTTTGCCTCTGAATCCGGCCCCTCTTTTTCGCTGTCTGTGTCTGCCTGGCTGCATTGCTTGCTTCTGTTGCTTTGCTTGCTTGTGTGCTTTGTCTCTGTTCGTCCGTTTGTTTCATCCTTTCTTTCTGCATCATGTCAGCTGCCCGGGCTTGGGGCGGCTTGGGGCACATCTTCGAGCCGTGAATGGATGATGCCCTAACATCACGCGGGCACTTGTCAAGATCAGTGACGCGCACTAGGCCGTCTCCAAACTGGTTGGCTCTTGTGCGATGTGTATATATATATATGTATATAAATACACATATATATATATATTATTATTATTATTATTATTATTATTATTATTATTATTATTATTATTATTATTATTATTATTATTATTATTATTATTATTATTATTATTATTACATACATATGTAGGTGTCTTTTTTGGTTAGTTTGGTTAGACACAGATGGAACTGGTTCAGGTTTTGCGTTATTTCGGTTGCCAGGGCCTTTCTTCCCAACAAGTCACCCATGTGTATGTACATGTTGTTTGTATACATACGTAAGCTTCATAGAACATACTTTAAACAAACAATTACCCAGCAGGGCAAAAGGACAATTTGCATGAGAGGCACCTTGAGATCTCTGCTGATTTGGATGCCTAAGGCTGGGGAGAGGAGGAGGCCCGGCTCATGGACATGGATGCGGATCAGAAGGTGACCGCCGAGGAGCGGCGAGCCTGAGCGTTGCTCGCGGAAAGGTGGGACTCGGAGTATCTCCATTTTGTTCCCTTTTAGCTCCGGACCCGGGCTGTGGCTTTTTGGCCTTGAATCAAAATTAGACAGGGATGAGTGTGCACCACCCCGATCGGAGGAACAAAATCGTGTGCCACGCAGGAGTTCCGCATCTTTGTTGGCCACATGGGCCTGCTGGCTGCAGATTTTCTTTGGGACGGGTCGCACGCAAGTGCGAATCCCCTGTCTCTCCGGGGCAGCTGAAAAATGGGTCTAGCAAAACCGGGCGGCCCGCCATAGTTTCGAAGGTCCATGCAGAGATTGCCGGGGAAGGATTCCTGCATGCCTCCGTCCCGACTTCACCCTCGGGCCATTCTGGAGCAAATATGTACAAGAAACCTTGGGCCAATGGCTTCGTTTCCTTCAGCCCATCCAAAACGGCCACTTTCAAGAAAATAAGAACAGCTCGCCGAAGCAGCGCCCCGATATTCCAAGGATTCTTGGTCTTTTGGAACGGATCCGGAGGTTCTGGGGAAAAAATGCTGCATCCCTCCAACCACTCCGTTTCGATTGTGGACGATTTTAGGGCGGGTGCGTGAAGCTTACGTTCCAATACGCTGCACGAGGTGCTATTTGCAGGTTCCGATGGATGTCTTCCCCGGCTTGTGTGATGCGTATTGGCCCAACGACTGAATGGTCATCCAGTTGTACAGGTGCAAACTGGAATGCAACTTTGAACGCAATAAGTTTGGACGGAACAGCGGTAATCCATACAACGCCCATGCCCTTTGATACTGCCCATGCCCATTTCTACTGTTATTTTTTGTTTTGGGGGGGGGGTGGGCGACCCAATTTCTCGTGGAGACCTGAAGGCGTGTTTGCGCAATGTGAGCCAGGGTCCAAGCTCCGTGTGTGCCATGGTCAAAAGACCGGTTCCTTTACCTGGGGTCAACAGGGTCATCCACCTGAGGTAGTGATTCCTGTTCAGGGAACCATGACCATGAGTATCGGCACCATTTGGGTCATGGATTTGGTCCATCCTCTTGAGTAAAGCGCTGTTTTCACCGTACGCCCGGTAAACCCACTCAACCACCTCCCCTTCCCCTAAACCCCCCCAACCACCCCCAAACCCCCCCAACCCGCCCCCCAAGCCCCCAACCACCTCGAACCATCCCCAACCACCCCAACCACCCCCAACCACCCCCAACCACCCCCCAAAAAAGTAAACCAAAGTAGAGAACATGACATGTCACCCTGCTCGTTTCCGCCGCTTGAGGCGGCCTGGCGCAGCTCTTCGAGCACCGGCGCCAGCGGGTGGCCAGCAAGAACTGGGGCCCGGAGCCCCGTTCGAACCAACGAACCACTCGAGGCCCCGCCCTTTTGGGCGAGCCCCGTTTTGAGACGAGACGTCTTCCAGAGAGGACCCCCTAGGCGGGGCCGCCAAGCAGAAGAAACGTAGGAACGTCTACCAGATTTTTCGGAGGCGAGGGGGGTCCATCGACAGGCATTGGAAAGGAAGGACAGCTGTCATTTGCTGGCCTTTCTGGCTTCAATTGTGGCTCCATCCTAGAAAAGAGTGACAAACGAGTTGCGCCAGAAGGAGGATGTGAGTGCCGTCATTCTCCGTCTAGCAAGGAAACAACCACTCCAAATCCAGCTCCCAGTTCCCTACCCTCCCTACCTTTCTCCCAATACACAGTGGCTGCATTTTGAGCTTTGACCCCTTGACTCGTGGAAGGCGAATCACCTCCTGAGCTTTGGATCCCAAGGGGTTGACCAAGAAATCCTCCTTCCACAGAAACCTCGGGGAAGCGGCTCCATCCCGGCCGGCGAGGTGAGGATGCCCCGGCGGTGATCCAAGTCGGCGCGCGGATCCGCGCTTTTTACTACACCGAGGCGGGCCTTTTCTCCCTGCGGGCCCGGACACCCGCGCGCAGGTCACAATTACCTTCGTTTGTCCCGTGGAACAAGGGAGGCCCGCAAAGATATGGAAAGCTGACAGAGTGCTCCAAGGCTGGAAGTTGGCTTAGCAACTTTTGTGTGCAAGGATTGACCGACCGATTTGTGGTTGGTAGTGTTCCTTTGGTTCCTTTTGGCATGCCTCCTTTGACCATGGAACAAATGAGTCCGTGTTCCTTTGGGCACACCTTGTCAGGTTGGTTAACGGAGAAACCAAATGGACAACCACCATTGCGGGGGTCCAAATCCCTATGTTGACACATACTCACGTTTCAGGTATCCCTCAATCGGTGCTTTGGATCGGCTTTTTTAGCGATTCGAACCCTGATTCGAACCCCCGGTTCCAGAGGGTAACATGGGGTCTCCCACCTTGCAAGTCACCAAGAGCTGAGCACTGAGAGTTGGCTCGTTTCAACTCGAAGCGCGATGTCCAGGACGGCAAGAAGTCCAGCAGCTGGCGAGAAGCCCAAGTGCTGGAGATGAACGTGATGCCGGAGAACGGCGTGAGGTCCGGGCCTGAGGAGTTACGCTTGTCGCTTAATTTCATGCCTCTACATATTATATATTATATATAGGTACATATATATATATATATATGTACATATTGTATACGCAGATGTATTTTAAAGGGCTATACAGTAGTTGTTAGTTTATGTGCAATTGCATGACCGTGGGCAACAAGCGACCAAACTGCATGAGGAAGTAGGAGAAATGACCTTGTCCCTTTCATGCAAAGGCACATCAATTTGTCTGGAACAATGCTCCGATTGGCTCGAAGAGACCCCACATGGTTGGTTTCCTCGCACTTCCAGCCTACCTAGGTGTACAAAACAAAGGTGCCAGCCGAGTTTCAAAACGACATGAGGGTCGTAGGCTCAGGATGGCGGACATGGTTTCTTATCGAACGACCAAATTTATTTTAGAGGCAAGTCGCCTTACCTTCAGAAACCAAAGAGGCGATCAAGGGCTTCATCCACGGGTGTGCTGGGGTTCCTAACAGTCTGGCGGTGTTTTGTGTTGTTCCCCAGCTGAAAGCTATGGGGTCTTTGCCCAGATAGGCTCCGGGTCCGGTGCGGCTCGTGCCGAGGAGGGGTTCGGGCTTGCCAGGTTGGTACACAATCTGAACAAAGCTTTCGCCAACTTCCATAACCAAACCATTTTCCACGGGTCCCCCCTGATCTGCCCCTCGCCCTCGCCCTCGCCGCCGCGCAGGCTACTCTTCGGCTTTGGAGAGGAGACGTCGGAGCGCCAGGCCGGAGCTTGCGGTTTGTTCAGTTCAGACAGGGGCCTCCAAAAATCGGATCCTTGCCAGAAAAAGAATGGAACACGCAGGGGAAGCGGCTGGGTTTGAAGAGAACGGTTGGAAAGAATGGGCAACAAACGGGAGTGCGTTAAGACCTCCAATGCATCAGTTGGAAGTTTTACTGGTTCATAACCCACCTGGTGCGAAATGGATTTTGTCCGTCCGCTCCCCTATCACAGGTCCATGTGTTGCAGGTCCATGTGTTTTGCAGTACCTGCGTTTTTCCCAAGTGGATGCGCGAGCGATGCGGCTCTTCGGCGCGGAGACCCGGCAGGTGGTGCCCCCGAGTTGGATCTTCTTCGACAGCCGCGACAGCGAGGTGGTCTCCGCCCTGCGGGAGGTGGGGGCCCCGGCTCCAAGCGCTCGTGGCCAATTGCCATGGGCTGAAAGAAGCCCCTGGGCGTCCGACCTGTGACTGCGTCGCACTTGTGAGTGACTTGTAAGCTGACAAGGTATTTAAACTCTTCCCATGTGGAGACTGTGCTAGTTCAGGACTGCGTCAACCATACATTAGCATCGCTCAAGCGGACACAATATTCGCCAAATTGAAAGCCTTTGTTGCCATGTGTTGTGATTGAGGCATTGACGTCATATCAATGGCATGGTGTTTGGAGGAGGCAATTCAACAATCTTCGCCTGCGCGGCAAATTTGGCAGCGCCTGGTAGAGTCATTTGGGAGCGGAAAGTCAGCCTGGTTATCTTGTTGGGGCTAGCTCATTTTACTTATCCTTTTCTTAGAATCGCGCTTGCGTCAAATGGCTTTTCGGTGGGTTTGACAGCAATCCCGTTGAATCTGTTTCCGCCAGTCGCTGGAGGATTAATAAATTTTGTTGTCAATCCACATCCATGAATTTCACGAGGATTCCCTAGTGACCAAACTCTCCAAACATCCTATGGTTGTCTGGGTATTTGGCCTTCCCCGGTTTGCCACTTCCGGAAACTGGATGTTTGAACACATTTGGTTGGGTGTGTCTGTTTTTGATGACACCCTGATTGCGTGGTTTTGACGGGACACCAACAGGAAACCACTCATTTTGGGGGTCCCCTAAAAAAGACACACCCATTTGGACGTATTTGGTCGTATTCAATGTTCGGGGGGTCCTGGTTTTTAAAGAAAACAAGCCAATGAAAAAGACAACTTTTCAGGTAACCCTTAGTTGGTGGTTTGGATTGGTGGTTTGGAATTTGAACCCCTTCCCGTTAGAGGGCGAATGCCATGCGTCTCCTGAACAGCCAAACACCACCAATCCAAACCACCAATCCAAACCACCGATCCAAACCACCAAGAGGGACGCTGAACTTTGGGGGGTGAAACCGGTGAAGCCGCCCTTGTCGCAGGTCGGCATCTTGGAGGAGCAGCAGGCCTTCTGGGCCTCCATCTTCCCGCAGTCGGAGATGCGCGCGGCCGGAGGACCTGGATGGAGCGATGTTCCCCGGGTCGTCCGGTGGTGGGTTGGGTGGGGTTTTCCCGGGATTTTGCGAGTTTGAAGAGGTGCATTTGAGGTGTGTGGCATGGTTGCTGGCCTGAGGCTTGACAAATTTGCCTCGTGTTGCTCTTCAGACTCTCAGCTCCCCAACTCCAAGGCAATTCCAAAGGGCACCAAGGCTTCGTTCTGCGACGGTTTGATGGGTTTGGCTAGACTGGACACTGCAGACCCCCTTGCCGCCTTGCTGTAGAACTTCTAGCAACAGCCACCACTATGTTAACATGGCTCCTTCTGCACCTCAAGCAACTGGCCAGCGTTCGGGAGCAACTGAGGGCTGGCCATTTCACAGACTTAGAAGCTGAGCAGATATGCCGAGCTTTCTACGACTCGCTTTGTGCAGAAGTATGGTGTGTTTCCTCCTCAGCGGTTGGCCTTGAGGTGGCAGCCCTGGTACCTTGCCAGCGACAAGCGTTGGCACATGTCCGGGCCAATGCCTCCATGAACCACGACAAGGCGTGATTTGGGTGGTTGACAGCCTTCTGAACCCCAGAAGAAGGAAGACGAGCTGCGCCCTGTTTGGTTTTGCGAGACCGGGTACGGCCTATTTGGTGGGTTGGTTCCCTTGATTTGACATTCGAGGGATCAACAAGAACATTTGGTGCCCGAAATCCCTTATCTGGGTGTAGAACTCAAGGTTTTTTTCCAGGCCACCGGAGAGGAAGACGACATGGACTCATGTCATGTCATGTTGACCCCTGACTGATGAATCAAGGCTTGTGGGGGGTTTGGCTTCTTTGTGGGGGAACCTCCTTGATCAATCCAAGTATTTGTGATTCGCCGGAGCCTCCTATGCGCCGTTGGCGTTTGTTCAGAGTTGCGTACGTTGCTTTTCCCATGGACGCCTAGGACCGACTCCCCCAAAGGTAGGGCACCGGATCTTCGAACCTCCAAGCGAGAAGCGCCAAGCAGCTTCGCTCCGTGCCAGGCCATGCCGGCGGTGCGGCAGAGGTTCAACGACTTGGGCTACGGGGAGGAGCAGCTGCAGGCGGTGCTGGGCTGGATTCAGGCGGGAAGGGCCGTGGGGAGCAGGCTGCGGCCTCGAAGGGCGTGGGGGATGTGGCGGTTTAGTTTTTTTGGGTCGGAGAATGGAGCGGCCCCAACTGGGGGTTCGTCAGTGGTGTGTGTGACTCTGTTCTCGCCGGAGCTTTAAGGTTCGGCGTTAGATTTGGCGGCGAAGACATCTGGCTGCGGATTTGTTTATAATGCTCCGCAGGTGCCTCCCTCAATGTGATGACTTGTTGGTTCCATTTTTTTCTGACTCTCTGGCGTCACGGAAGTTCACGGCATGTTGGAAGACAACTGTCTTTTTCCAGAAAGCGCAGCGAACAAGGGTTGCTCAGCTCCGCCTTGCCCTGCTCTGCATGGTCCAGCGCCAGCGGGATGAACCCCCAAGAGAGACGCTGGTCCGCTGGCTGTGGGGCACTGCCTTGCACATATTTGCTATGCCGCAGCTCTACTTTGCACAGCTCCGCTGTGCGAATCTCTGCTCTAAACAGTTCGGCTTTGCACCCCTCGTCAGCACAGCGCAGCGCGTCTCAGCATAGCCTTGCAGCGGGGCGTCTGAATAGTTTTGCTTTGATTCAAAGCGCATCTCAACATAGCCTTGCTGGCACAGCACTTCTCAACATAGCCTTTCTTGAGAGCGCATCTGAACATAGGCTTGGTGCGTAGCACATCTCAACATCGCCTTACTTCACAGTGCATCTCAACAGACCCTTGCCGCGCAGCGCGTCTCAACATAGTTTGCTTCAAAGCGTCTCAACACAGCTTGCTGCGCAGCGCATCTGAGCATAGCCTTGCCGCGTGGCACATCTCAACCTAGCCCTGCTTCACAACACATCTCAACATAGCCTTGCCGTGCAGCGCGTCCCAACATAGTTTTGCTTCAAAACGCGTCTCAGCAGCTTTGCTTGCGCAGTGCGTCTCAAGCAGCCCTTTTTGGTCTCTTTCTTTTTCATAAGCGCTTTCAGGATAATCATGGTCTAGGATGAAGTTCAATTTGTAGCGAGCTCAATGATTGGAAGAAGGGTCTCCTGTGAAAGGAGTTTTTTTTCTTCCTTTTTTTTCTTTTTCCGTTTCTAAAGTGGGCGCAGCGGGGTTGGGAGCAGCCTGTCCTCCCGGCCAGGATTTGGCGCCCATGTGCATTCACGTGCACATCGACAACGTTGGCAGGTTCCTGGAGACGGAGCGAAGCTGTCTTGAAATCGGGGGCTGGCCATGCTGGGCGGGGGCCGCCGGGCTCAGATGTCAGGGTTGCGAAGGACGTGGACATGAATGACATATGTTTCCCAGAGGGTCTTTACAGGGCAAATGGCATTTCAAGGACAGTGTTGCAGCGGTTTGCCTGTTTGAACAAGAATGTGACAATCACTCCGACTCGCACAGCCTACTTTTGCTGCAAGTTTGCTCATTGACTCATTGAACAAGCTCTCAAGGCTTGGGCTGTCCACTGCCACAGCAGATTGTCCTTCTGGGTGGCTGTGAGTGTGTCTTTGGGCCTCTGCAAAGGGTTGGTGGTGATGGCCCTGGACAAAGATGGGTCTCCGTCCCCAGAAGCTGACATATGCTTTTGGGTTTTGGAGCCCATGCTTTGTCAACCTTCAGGATCTTTCTACTCGCACCGCTGCCTTCGCCCTGACCGATTTCTCTGTGCCTAACAGGGCAACTAACTTGGGCAAATGCGATAAAACCAGTTGGACCCCGGACAAAAAAAACACACACACAAAAAAAGGAAAACAGCAACAACATGCTGGTTGGACTATTGCCTTGGCAGTGTGCCCAGCATGTCTCGTAGGATGAGTTCTACCGGAACCAGTTTGAAACGGGCACCTCCTGCGGCGCTCTGGATGATGGCAACAGCATCCGCAAGGCGGGCCGCCGCTTGCCGGGGTTTGTTTTGCGGCAGCTTTGGCTTGGCACAGCCAAAAACCAAAGGAACAATTTTTTGAAGGTTTCCAAGCCCAAGGATTGAGCCGGCTCGCTCATTGGCAATCTCAAGGGAATCCGGAAATCCAACGTCACGAAACGCCTAAACATCTAAATAATTGTGCTTTCTATTTAAAATATATCATAAAATATGATACCCAACAAATAATGATTTCCCTTCACGTTCCCTTCAAACCAACCCCAAAAGGGTACCCACCAAAAAAGACAGACCTGTTTTGCTCGAAGATTCTTGGTTTTTCCATAAGCTGCAGTACAACCTCACGAAAACCAAATGAGCCACAATCAAAACCCGGGTAGATGAAGGTTAGTTAGTAAGGGATAATCCCAATCAGAAATGGGCGCAGCTGCATTTTGGTTCTTTGCATGGTTCTGGGTCTGTAGACTACTTGAATACCCGGGTTTTGATTATGACTACAATAAAACCACAAAACACCAGATTGCGGGGCCTAAGGAGTGTGCGGGGCTGTGCAACCAGATTGTTTTGCTTTTATGGCTGCAAGAGAACTCTCAAGAAAACCGAACCAAAACCAAAACATGATTGCATGACCTACGAGGTGTATGCGATGTGCCATCTTGTTCGTGGGTTCTCAAAGTTATGTTTGCTACAGACTCCGGTCACCCTAAAGAAAGGACCAGCGATGCGAGTGCTGAAGCTACTGCGTGGTAGTAAAGGGTCCCAAAAAACAAATCGGATGGAGGGCAGAGAAAGCCCTGAGAGCATATCCCTCCCCTTTTTAGCATGTTCTAGGAACACCGTGCATTTGATTTACGATTTATGTCCAAACTCAAGTGGTGACCCAGCCGCTTCCTCGGACGTTCGGAATGGTTGCTTGTGAGACCCTCATGGGCCGTCCGTCACCCTGCCGGTTGGACCTTTCACAGGGGTCCCTGAATTTCCCTTTTCTCGACCTAAAGCGGCTGTTTCACTGGAAGCCACCAGTTTGCAACTTTTCAAGGGAACTCCAGTGAGACCCGAAAATGCAGCGACTTTCGCCTTGCCCCTGACAACAAGGGCGGGCAGTCACAGCTGAAGACGTAAAACTCGGCGCAGGGCTGGGAGAAGGAGCTCTTCGGGGGTTGCTACGACGACGCCAAGCCCTTCGAGCGCTGCAAGTACGGGGCGCTGAGCGTGCCTTGCTTAGCAGCGCAGAGCGCGGGCTGGCCTCTCTGGGGCACGGCAAGTTTGCTTTTGGATTTGGACCCCCCAGGATGGTGGTTTTCCTTTTGGTTTCTCTTTAAAACCACCAACGGGGGTGCCCTCAAAACAGACACACCCATCTGAGGACCTTGGGGGGTGCATTTTCTGCCAGGGTTTTGGGGGGGGCTTGTGTTGAGCCACGAAGCATGTAGAGGTTCTGGAACCCACCCTGCATAAACCCTTGACCCAACCCTCAGCCTTGAAGCCGTCCCTGCCTCTGAAGCTGCCATACATGCACCTGACACCCACCCTCGGCTTTGTGGCCTCGACTTTTCCTTTGCAGCTTTTCATTACTTCCCTAGTGGCTAAAAGAACTCAGGCCTAAGGGGAGAGTAAACGGCGGAAGGAACCAACTTTTTTCTTGTCATGTGACAGAGGTCAGAGGGCACGCCTTTCTCAGCGAAATGGGAATCGTGCCCTTCTCCCTTGCGCGGAACAAGGGATCTCCGGCTTCATCTGCCATGTCGTGCACCACGCGCCCAATCTACTTGCAGGCGTTGGGCATGTCGCAGCCAGGTGGATCCTTGTGAAGCGGGCCCTTGCCAAAGATTCCCAATCAATGCTGGTTTATTGCCATGAAGGTGGCGTTTCAGTCCAACCCTGCCTACAGCCAATTCTCTGCTCGGACACTATGTGTGGGCGCAGAGACGTTCGGCTGAGGTGATGAATGACTATCGGGGCGTGCTGAGCGCGTATCAGTATGGCGACTCCTACCTTGTCTTGAAGCTTTGGCTCCACGGTCTTTGTAAACCAAATATTGGGACCAGCCCCTTGTGGATGGTCTGAGCATGTTGAAAGAGGGATCCTGACATTCGAAGCAAGGGTGCGTGGCTTTGGCTTGCCCAATGTCAGTGGTGGGGGGCGGAAGGAGGCATGACTCGCGACTACCAGGTTGGTGAACTTTCTGAACCAATTGCAACCAACTCCTTATGTGCTGTGCTCGCACGACCAATCACATCGGTGTGGGACCAACTCCTTCGCTTCGAGAAGAGCGTTGTGGCCGTGGGTTATATATATATATATATATACATATCTCCCGTAGGCTTGGGTCCCGAGTCCTTTGAGTGGTGGGAAGATCAAGCCCAAAGCCACCCACAAGCCAAATCAAACCTACTCCCTATGTATCCTACCCGCTCAGCCCGGGAAAAGCGATCTGCCAAACCTAGGAAAACCAAACCCTGTTCTGACAACAGCAACTCAGTCTCCGGAAACCAGGGTGACATTTGGACTATTGGACCTATCCCGCAGCCCGGGGATTTCTCAAACTGCCATCGCACTAAGCCTGGAAAGACTCGTTTCCAGAATGATGGTTTGGAGGACATGGATGCCAAAAGCCTCGGTACCCAAATCAGAGGATGGTCTGTTGGTGTGGGGTCAACTCCTCTATTGTTGACCCCTGATTCATCACCCCTCCCCCCAGTTTTTAATTAGGGTGGTCCCCCACAAGACAGGATTCCCCACTACGCTCCTGAACAATTGCTGGGGGGTTGTATGAATCAGGGGTCAACATCAATTGAACAGCAACCCCAGAGGCTGCGTTTACGCGTCGCCTGCGTTGGATCGCTGGTGAAGCAGCACCTAGGAAGGACGTGCGGCTGCGGACCAGCTTCGCAGCCACCGACTCGGGTGGCATCGAGGGCGCGGGCTTCGATTCGGATTCGGGGTTGGCCGGGAAGCGACCGCTTTGTGGAGGCCGGTGGCCATGAATTTTGATGAGGGATGCAACCGCCGACTTCTGATGTTCGCCAGAGGGTCCAAATGTCAAGAGACAGCCAACTGTCTTTGAAAGGAAGCCCGCCGTTCTGGGGAGAGCCCTTCTTCAACGCACACCGCAGCGCAAGATGTACTGGCTGTTCTTCAGCGGGGTTGTCTCCCTCCTGCAGACACGGGAATCCAGCCGGGAATTTCGGTTCTGTGAGGCACCACCGGTTCAGTTGGCTGCCCACCTGTTGAGTTGGCAAGTGTGAGGCTTTTGTTCGTAGCTTTCCTCAGAAGGCCTCAAAACGTCATTCCTGGCCTTTCAACTCAGCGTGTTGGCAGTTTGTCAGTTTGTTTCTGGAAGCTGTTGCGCATATGTCACTGTCTTCATAAATCTCAGGGCAACATTTGTGGTTTCGGCCTTCTGCAAATAGACGCGTAGAAGGACACGACCTTTTTGCTGACCAACGGCCCGCGCATCTCTCTTGAGGCACGCAAAAAAGCTGTCGCCTGGCGCAGGTGATCGTTTGGCTGTGCTGGACAAGTATGCCCACGTGCTGAAGGCCGGGGAGTTTCCTTCCGGGTAGCGGCTTCTGTTGGAGAGTGGTAGGGAACAGTTGCGGAGTGAGAGATGGGTCATGGTCTGAAGCCCTCCAACTGAGCAGTGCGCAAACCTGCTGTGCTGGAAAGTTCGACTCCTTTCTTTAGTCAAGCTGGTGGTGAGGGCCTACCGAAGCATTTCTTAACATGGGAAGCCCTTCCTCGGGTGCTTCGAAAGGGAGGCAAGGAGGAGAGGAACCCTCATTGGAAGAACCTCAGGTTGGAAGAACCTCAGGTTGACAGGATTGTATCTCTGCTCAAATAGCTCCACAGTGAACTGCTTCGAGAAGATCAAAGCTCTAGAAAGAGGTTCCTTGCGATATTGTCAGAGTGTGTTAGCTACGAAGTTTGCGGCCCTGGAGGCACTTGAAAAAGGGGAGCGACACAAATGAGAATGTTCATATAACCTGCGATTGTTGTGGCTGGTTTACTGAGAGAGAGCCGCCCCTGCGCGAACCACAGACCAAGTTGCTCCGTCCAAGTGCTACATATGGACTTATGTTTGTCAGGGAGCATCTTACAAGGCAAACTTAGTACTGTCAAGGTGTCAACTCGAGCGAGCCTTGGCTGACTCCCACGAAGTATCTTCCTGTCCCGGAGAACCCATTGGTGCCAGCTTCTAGTTGGGTATGTGTCAGAACAGGGGGAGCCCAGAAAAGGGGGTATGTTCCCTTGGTTCTTTCTAAACCAACCTGGGCAGTGTGCTGAATGCCATAAACACCCCAACGGACACCAGCTGACAGAATCTTCCGCCAGGAGTACGGTGACAGGGAGCTGAGGGAGCTCATTGAGGTGGGGGAGGTTGTGTAGCCCCGGTTGGGGCTTGACCCTGGTTGGCTGGCTGGGTTGGCTGGGTGGTTGGCTGGGTTGGCTGGGTTGGCTGGGTGGTTGGGTTGGTTGGGTTGGTCGGGTTGGTTGGGTTGGTTGGGTTGGTTGGGTTTGTTGGTTGGTTGGTTGGTTGGTGGGTTGGGATAGGAGATCTTAGCAAAAGGGCTTGCAAGGAAGGCAAAGCGAAGCCAGCGTTGGGAACAAGCATGAGCAGCATATGATGCGCGCGCTGGTTGGGTGAACCTGTTGGGCAACCTCAGCTCTGTCCAGGGTTTGGATATCCGTGCAGAGTAGTCAGAGTAGTCAGACACCTTCAAGCAAGCTTTCTCCCCATCAGACGTAGTAAATTACACATCCTGGGCAACTTTGAGAAGGGCACAAGCATTAGAACAGTTGGTTTCACGGTGCCAGCCGACCAATGGATGGATCGGCTGTTCGGGTCGCTAATCCCAGGTTTCCCCCGATAATCCCAGGTTTCCCCCGAAACCCTGGTCTTCCCGCGCAGCCCTGCAGATGGCCTGGTCAAAACTCGGAATGCCCAAAGGACGTGTTCGAAGTGTTCGCCATGGGTCTGAGCCAGCCCCTTCCAAATAGTCATGCATTCATACATTTGGTCTCAACTCCCTTGGTCTTGTTCTTTTTGTAAACCATCCTTTATACTATATATACACATTTTTTTGTTTGTTTCTTTGTGTGTTTAGTGTGTGTATATATATATATATATATAATATCTAGTTTTCCTTCAAGTACAACCCAAGGTTTTATAAGGACCCCGCTGCCCACCGAGCTGGTGGCATCGCTTGAGGTTGCTAGCGCCAACACCTCGCTGATGGACGTGGGCGGCGCCCAGCCGAAGCTCATACGGGGCATGTCCACGGACTGTGCCTCCGAGTGGGTCACGCCGCTTCCCCGCAGACGCGAAAAAGCGGGGGGGAGGGGTTCGGGTTACGGGGTTGGGTTTTTTTGTGTGGGGGGGGGGGGGTGGTAGAGGTCTGGCAGGCATGGGATGGTTGATTGTCAGACTCTCTGTGCAACTAGACCACACATACAACTTATATATATATATATATGCATAGTTGGCGGACATATGTATGATATATGCATTATATACATATGCCTTTTGTGTTATGAATCTTGGCTGCGGGTCTGAGGGCGTATTGCCATTTGCAGCTGGCATGCAAGACTGCTCTGGAAGATGCACGCGTTTTGCACTTTGCTTGCCAAGCAGCTTGCAACCAGCCTCACTGCAGCCCTCAGGCAGAAGGCAGCTGGTTAGTGCATGTTTTCAAATGAAGTTGTGGGGCAAGTCGGATGGTTCTTATGTATCTTTCTGGCTTAGCTGGCTTGCTCGCGAAAATTGGCCTGTTGGTTTTTGTTGGAGGGAGGTGAGCTCATTCTTTCAAGAGCTTCAGATGCAGAACCTCTCCCCAGTGGTCAGGCGCATAAGAAGCCGCGCGTCAGTCCGTTGGCCGAGGGTCGGCTTTCCCGACCTGCCGCAGAAGAAGGGCCGTGTCTCGACAGCCTTTTAGAAGTGAATTCGCGGTTGTGGTCTACCGTTTGGTTTTGCTTCAAGGGGGGATCCAAATGGAAGCCGACCAAGCTCTGTTTCTAACAAAAAACCATTTGGGCATGTCAACATATTTTTTGACCCCACAATGGCTTCGATTTTCCTGTTGGTTTCCGATGAGCAAACGGCTCGGGGTAGAGAGGGACAGACCGTGGTCTTTTGAGATTCATCGTTTGAGCCGGCAGCTTTTGATGGGCATGAGGGATGAACAACAAACATGTGGGGTGCCCCAAAAAGTGATGCGGGGTGGCCAGCCACTTACATTTTGGCTGGAACTTACGCTGTCCACCCACTTGTGCCTCACCAAGTACTTAGTTACACCAGTGTCTACAGAGGTACAGTATTGGATCCCCAAAATGATGGGATGTTCCCAAAGACCGACCGCTGGGTTCGGGTACCCTGACTAGGAGCTGGACACCGAGGCTACTACTTCGAGGTGGAGCTCTATCGCGGCTGCCGCTCCGCACAGGTGGGATTCCTATCCAACCAGCCCCTTGACGCCTTCAGAACAAGCAGACCACCCAGGTTTTTTTTGACGTCAGGGCCAACAAGAAACATGGATTGAGGTTGTGGGGAATACCCAAGTAGCATCATAAGAGAGTCATGCGTGTTTCTATTTATATTGCCCAGCGTGAAGAAGGACCACCAAAGATGTTATTTTGACCTGCGAGATGTTGGTTTTGCGCCGACCGGCTCAGTCCAGACTGTTTTGTTGTCCGCAGCCAACCCCTCAAAAGATCTTATTCTAACCAAAAGGGGGGTTTCCCAAAGGACAGACTCAATTGCAGTTTATGCGCGCACAAACGCATGTCTGCGACCAAACCAACGCAACTGCCCATGGACACACAAGCCAACCCCATCAAGCAACATGGAAATGCGGCGCCGCACTTATTGGCAGACCCAAGCTTCTGCGGCAGTTTTTGAGCTTTCTACATGTGTTTGGGTTTGAGCAGGCACAGACATATGTACTGGACAGTGTTCATCAACATGAGATTCAATACAAGCAGCTGCATGTTGCATTACTTGAATGTGGACTCTGAGACTATGCACACAGGCTACGTAGACCAATATGGGTATTTAGCGAGTGCTTGGATTCTTAATGAACCATGCAGCCAATATTTAGTGTATGTCCAGCTTGATTCCGGTGCAAGATGCTTGCGCCTTTGACACTTCCCAGGCAGTGTTTGGCATGTAGTACTCTCATCATTGGCATGCATATGCATATAAAGCATGTGTCTGTAGCACAGGCCAGCTTGTGCCTGGCGCGTGCTCGACAAAGACAAGGTGCAATACTACATGTTTGCTAGCGTGTTTTGTGTCTAGTACATGTTTAGCTATTTTCTGTTCCATAGGCAGCATATGTTTGGAAAATCACGAGCCACACATTTGTAGAAGGCTTTGCATGGTTTTTGGATTTGATTTGCTCCGAATATATCGAATTTGTCTAATGGCAGAGGTCAGCCTGCTCTATTGTAATTTCATCATATTGTTCTATTTGCCTGATATATTCCTGGCATCTGTCTTGCATATAGTATATGGCCAGTGAGTACAAAGCTGTTCTCTCAGTTCCTAACAGGCTTAACTCCTGTTGTTTTGCACGATAGTGTTGTCTATTTCTGCTGTGGTTCCCGGACATGTCTTGCATGTCCAGCATGTGCCAAGCACATGCCTAGAATATGTGTTACGGTCTTGCAGCCTGACGTCTAGTACATATTCATCTGGTTTTGAGTATGCTTGACATATATTCAGCATGGAGCTTAGGCGTGGCATTTGGGACACTGTCTTGACATGTTGACACTCGAGGCTTTTTGCATGCTTCCCTCGAGACCCGGCCCAACACTTGCACCGTGAGACAAGTACAGCGCACTCCAAAGTACCTGTGCACTCGCACAGCGTGCCTCCCCTACTAACACCATATGGCTGTGTCTGTTTTGAGGGTACCACCTTTTCTGGAGGAAAACCACCATTCCGGGACTGTCCCCTAAACATGACAGACCCAGATGTCTGAGCCGAAATCCGCCTTCAAACCCGGTGGGTTTGTTTCGCCCGCGCCATTCTGCTGAGCTTCATCATCGCGCCCAAGACTGCGGGCTACCAGGGGGGCGTGGGAGATGACGAGCACGGCTGGGCAGTGGATGGCCAGCACGCCCTCAGCAGCTCATTTGCATGAAGTGGACGTTGATCTTGTGGGGAGGCTCCGGCTTTGCCACAAGGTCAAAGAAGTTCTCATCTGGGTGTGTCCTTCTAGGGGGACCCCCGAAAATAATGATTTTCTTTGGGTTCCCTTTGTTGGGGTTGGTTTACCCTCAAAAAACGAGAGAACCACACCTGGATTTGACCTCCTGCAGGTGTGGGGGTCCCCCCAAAAACCAGAAATTCACAGGTTCTCGAACGGCGCCCAGAAATCCCACACTTAAGCCCAACCCGGTTTACTCTGCACGGTCCGCATGCGGAGTTCGATTTTCCGAGTCTTGCATCCCGGCTTTCAAGTAGCCCTGGCCACTCGTAGCTTCAGGTGGTTCGGCCTGCTTGCCCCCCGACCCCCCCGAACCCCCCTCCCCCCCCGCCCCGCCCCCCCGGCCCCTCGTCCTGTCGGAATCGGTCGGAGGATGGCACGGTGGCAAGAAATTGCCCTGGGACAGGCCGAAGCGGTTTCGGGCGAGCGGGCGGGCGTCAGTAGAACCTGAGGTCTGGTCTGGGTGCCCATCCTCATGTTTTTCCTTGGACGCGAAGTCAACGTTAAGAGTTGGAACCACCAAACGTCGTGGGCATGTTCATCCCCGACTTGTCGGCCATTTCGGGTCCAAAAGGGACCCAGTAAGATTCACCACATGCCTGTTAATTTTCTGAGGCCCACGGGCAGAGGGGTAGCGGTGCTTTTCATTGGTCCCACTGCTCGAAATTTGGCTGCATGATTTGCCACGACTCCTCTCTGGTTCACGTGATATGATATCGTGGATGCACCTCCGTTGTTGGTGGCACCTCCTGGTTGCAGAAAACTGACGCACCATAGTCTCCGGCTTCCACCAATGGAAGTTGTTGCTGGCTACCTGGAAAGCAAGTGAACCAGCCAAGCTCCTTCATTGTGAATGCATGAGAACCCTGGATAAAACCTGGTCCACTGTCACAGGATCTTGCAATCCCCCGAAAGAGGCGCATCCTCACTGGAACACCCCCCCCAGATTAACCCACCAAGGGCTTGCGAATCTGAGATTCCCTTGCCTGCCTCGGCTCAGAAGAATGCGTTTGTACGTTCCATCCAAAGCCCAGGGTATGTCCAGGGCCTTGGCGCTGTCTTGTTTGCGAGTGCCCTTCAAAGGTTGAAGAATCTTGAAAGCAACATTTGATCCTGGCACACACCTGTTCACCCATGTCGGCAAATGCCAGACCGAAGATATGCAAAAGCACATGACCAACACTCCAAACACCTATTCGCCATTCCATTTTAAGAGAGGCTCTACGAGGCCCGTACAAGCCTTGTAACCATGTTAGTAGAACCAGAAGTCAATGCGTTTGGGAGCTGTGAAAAGAAATACTTGGCACACAGAGTGACAGCATTTGGTGCATAATCAAACCAGTGGAGCAGCCGCTTGGCATATGTTGCGCTGCCTCTACCTAGAGGCAGAAGATCTAATGCTTTGCTTCCAGAGGGCTCCAAGCTGTCTCTCCCTTTTCGAGAGGGCATTTGGATGAAGGATCAGCTGGGTAGACGGTTTCTTCATGTCTGGAGAAGTGCGGGAGACACGCGTTGTGTTCGGTCGCGGGGTTTCAGCTTGCAATCCAAAGCCAGGGCCCGAACTGAGCTGCAGAACCGGGCGAGGTATTGGGAGGTGTCCCCGGAGGACCCCAACTCGCTGAACCAGAACGTGATGGTGGGCGTGGCCGTGGACATCGACGCCCGGGCGCCCCCTGCCTCACATTTGGAGCGATGGAAGCGCGGGGCCGGTTGGTGGGTTAGGTGTGCCCCCAAGGTCTTCGAACTAACCTTGCTTGCTTGCCACTTGGCTAAGCAAATTCAACAATGGACAATGGCTTGTAGTTGCTTTACTGCTAATTTTGGGGCATGCGCCTTGTCAAGCCGGCCCAAAGTTCAATGCGGATTCCGCCTCTAAATCCTTTTTTGGCTTCTGGACAACTCGGCCAACATGTTGGGAATGCGCTGTTCCAAGCCAAGCCAGTCAGCAGTCACTCATTGCCATGGACATATGCAGAGGAAGCTTGCTTTTGGCTTCCGGTTGGTGTGTTTGCGTTGTCGAGGTCTGTGACCCCCCCCCCCGTGTTTTTGCTTTTTTGGGGGGGCCTTTCAAGCACGGAATCAGAATTCCAAGCCGAGTCCTATTCGTGATCCCAGGTAGGAAAGTCCAGTTTGCCATGACTGACACGATTGGATCGTGGCACATACACACGTGTTTGTCACTTATTGTGGTGCTGCTGCACAGCAGTCATTGGGAGCGAACGCCTCTGCTTGTTTGAGATTTTTCAAATGGATCCTTCATAAAGCTCTCACATACCCCTACGGAGATCTTCGCCAGCCATTTAAGAAGTGCTTGACTGGCAAGGCCAGACATATCTCTCGGAGAACGACCAAACAAAAAGCCACCCGGGAGATGAATCCACAAACGGATGATCAGCCTAATGCTGTGGTGCGGGCTTGTCTTCGGCACTCGTGGATCTCTTTGCACTCCAGACAACTGCTGGTGGGAACCAGAAGTGCAACGTGGAGACCTTTGGAGTGTGCTTTTGTGTTGTTCTTGATGACAGAAGCAATGTGCACACACATGTTGGCAAGCGAACAAGTGAGTGTAATAGGAGAGAAAGCCATTCATGAAGGGGCAATTCTTGGGCATGCTGCTTGCCGGTTGGCGAGTCGTTTGTATTGGGTGCACCAACAATCACCACAACCGAAATGTCAACCGAAATGTGGCATTGTTCTGCACTCGAGCTTGGAAAGCCAGAACCAAACATCTGGCATACCCAGCATCCATCCGGCAGATCGCATCTTTTTTTTGTGCCACCAGGTTGTTTCAGGCAGCCCGAGCCCGTTTCGGGCTGCCTCCGAGGATTTGGTTCGCCTCGGACGGGGTCTGGGACGAGGAGAAGACCCCGAGCTTCGGGACGGATCTGATCCCGAAGGGCCGCCTGGCTTGGACTTCCGGTTGGCGACCACATGGGGAACCTGCGATAAGGGGAGCGCCCGAAGTCTGGGAGAAGGCGAGTGATTGCACCCCTGACTCCAGACACTTGTTTTTTCTTCTTTTCTTTTTTTCCCCCTCCGTTTGTGTCATGATGGTGATCCGCGAATGCTGAACAAGGAGGTGCCGTCAGTTTGGAAGGGCGGGCATCTCAGAAAGTGCGGGAACGCCACTTAGTGCTTGGTTTGTGAGCAGGAGCGTGCCCCGCCACCGGGTCTAAGTCAAAGTGGGCCTCGCCGCAGAAGCGGCATTTGGGATTTGGAAAGATGAGGCTATGTGGCTATGTGCCCCGTTTTTGTATCTTAGATGTCTCTTCTTGGACTCACGGGCGCCAAACAAAGGAGGGTTGGGTTCCCGGAACATGTCTGGCGGATGCCCTCAATATTGCCACTGGAGAACACGGGAATCCGTGCGAACTCCAGTGGCTTGTGGTTGGCGTACCTGTTTTTTTTAGGGCATTTCCTGCTTGCAAGGCACCTCGGTGTACCCGGCGGTGTCTCTCAAGGGCCGCGCCTGCTTCAACTTCGGTCCAGACTTTGCCCACAAGGCCTTAGAATGTGGGAGGGGGTGCAGAAAGGGGTGTGTGCGTGTAGGGGGGCAGGAGGCAGTTCCTTCAGTCTTGTGATTACGTAACTGCCAGGCTGATGTTTGGACGTCCGTGAAAGCCACCTAAGCTTTTGTGGGCGATGGAACTGGAAGCGTTCTGCCGGCGACCGTTCTTGAGGCTCCTAAGGGTTCTGATCCAAATCAATTCGCGCTGTTTCTTGCTTCATGGCTTAGGTTACAGGGAGTTGGCGTTGACCAAGGCCCACATTTGCCCTTGACAGCTGTTCTTCTCCCAGGTTCTAGTCCCAAAGTGTAGCACAAACCCAAGGGCTTCCAGCCCCGAAAGGCGCGGCCTCCGGTCGGAATGAGTGGTGACAGGTTCGTTTGATTTGGGTTGAAACATGTTGGATCTGATCAGTGATATATGGTTGACTTTGCTCACCGATATTTTGAGGATTGATACATGTTGCTATATCTATATATACACACATATGTTTGACTTTGAGCTGGCCTAGCCCTTTGAACTGCGGCTGGGAAGTGGGCAGAGGGGAGTGTGGAGTGGGAGTCTCAAAAGGGACCCCCCTCAACAGTGGTTGGTGTACAATCCCCAGCTAAATGATGTCCACCGAAGGTGCCTAAGCAAAATTCCATATGTGGGTTGAGCAATATTCCCGGCTAGTTTTGAGCAATGGTCACTCTTTTCCCATGCGGTTGAAATGTAAAATCCCTTGGGGTTTTCCAACCGATGGAGACAAAAGCGGACCTTGTGTCCAACCTCTCCATGGCCATTCAGGCGCCCACCTTCAAGGGCAGGACCTTCGCAGCCTGGCCCGGCATGCCGGACGGCAAGGCGGGGGCGCATTCGGATGCGACGTTTTCGGGGGCGCGAGGGGTGTCTCAGAAGTCGTCCGAGGGAGGACTTCAGATTACTCCGGGGATTTGGTTTCTTCCTGAAATGACCTGTTTCCTATTTTTGCCTGCCCCGAATCCATGCGATGTTAACATTATGACAGGGGTATGTGTCAAGTATTCGCGGCCTTTGTGGTTGAGCTGCGATGAAATGTGAGCCAAAAGCATAGAATTCGAGGAACATTGGATCGCTTTTTCTGGTATTCCTCCACGTTGACCATTGTGAAGCTCCATCCCTTTCGCGGGATGAGCCCATGAGCCCTCGGAAAAGCAGACCAGCGAGACGACTCCTTCAGCCTTTCTTCAGCCCCCCTCCCCCCGCCCTCCAAGCCACCAGCCACACCGCTTTCCAACCTTTTCGGTGCAGTGGCCGAGCCTGACTGTAAGAACCAAGGACTATGGATTGCGCCTTGCTTTGACAAGGAGCTGTACTCCGCTAAAATGTTTTTCTTCAGAATGATCCCAAGAAAGCCGCTTGTACTTGGAGTTGGTGTGTAGTTGTCCAAAGCCATCCTTTCGTGTCAGTTGTCCACAGCTTACACATGGATTTTCTTGAGCATGATGTTCATTCCATATGCTGGCAGAGCGAAGCATGCAGTTGGAATTTTCGGATTAGGGGATGTCTAGTGGCGTTTGTTGCCTTCAGAACGCTTGTGTTTTGGACTACTCGTAGTGTTGGCTGGTTGGATGACCCCTCTTTTGGTTTGTCGGTGCGTCTTTTTTTGAGTGGTGGCTTTCCTTTTGGTTTCCCTGTAAAACCAAAACAGGGGTAGCCTCAAACGAGACCACGTCCCATGGCAAAGCCATCCAAGGGCCCAGGCCAGAAGCTCCCGCGGCCAGAAGCTCCCGCCCGCAGGTGAGGGCCGACGTGCCGATCATCGGGGACGAGAACAATGTGGGCATCTACAAGGAGGGGTCAAAAAAGGTTTCTCCAACGGTACCTCGCGCGATTTCCGGGACCCGCGCGAAAAATTGTGTCGGCGGAACTGTTTGAAACGCAAATGAAGCATTGCAAGACTCCCTCGGGTCCTTGACAGTGCTGGTGGCTCAAGCAAGAGGCAGCCGGAGACCAGACATTTTCGACATAGAGGTTTTACTCGCAGATCAACACCCTCTAGGTCCTAGGTGAACTTTGTGGATGACTCCTTTCAGGATTCTTTTTTTTTGAATCAAGCGGTTAGAACTCGGAACGAACCCATCAACGCCGAGCTAGCGGTCGAACCTGCAGGATGGTTGGAAGCTCTTGTTGCATTGCAGTACAATGGCAGCTTCCTTTCCGCACACGGCTGCCTGCTAAAGCAAATGACCCCTTTTGAGGGACGAGGGAACTACCTGGATGCCTCACCATTTGGAGGATTGTACGAATTTGATGCATTCCCCAAAAGATATTGCCACAGCACACACTGCATGGCAGCCCTGGCAGCTCGACAAGCGTGTGTGGGAAAGTGTGGGTGTGTGGGTGTGTGGGTGTGTGGGTGTGTGGGTGTGTGGGTGTGTGGTTGTGTGGGTGTGTGGGTGTGTGGGTGTGTGGGTGTGTGGGTGTGTGGGTGTGTGGGTGTGTGGGTGTGGGTGTGTGGGTGTGTGGGTGTGTGGGTGTGTGGGTGTGTGTGGGTGTGTGCGGGTGTGGGTGTGCGTGTGTGGCTGTTTGGGTGTGTGGGTGTGTGGGTGTGTGTGGGTGTGTGGGTGTGTGGGTGTGCGTGTGTGGGTGTGGGTGTGTGGGTGTGTGGGTGTGTAAACCCGTTGTGGGTGTGCGTGTGGGTGTTTGGGTGTGTGGGTGTGTGGGTGTGTGTGTGTGTGTGGGTGTGTGGGTGTGTGGGTGTGCGTGTGTGGGTGTGGGTGCGTGTGTGGGCGTGTGTGGGCGTGTGTGCGTGTGTGCGTGTGTGCGTGTGTGCGCGTGTGCGCGTGTGTGCGTGTGTGCGCGCGCACGCGCGCGTGTGTGTGTGTGTGTGTGTGTGCGTGTGTGGGCGTGTGTGGGCGTGTGTGGGCGTGTGTGGGTGCGCGTGTGTGCGTGTGAGTGCGCGTGTGAGTGTGCGTGCGTGAGTGTGTGTGTGTGTGTGTGTGTGTGTGTGTGTGTGTGTGTGTCTGGGTGTGTCTGTGTGTGTGAGTGTGTGTGTGTGTGTGTGCGCGTGTGTGTGTGCGTGTGTGGGCGTGTGTGGGCGTGTGTGCGTGTGTGCGTGTGTGCGTGTGTGCGCGTGTGCGCGTGTGTGCGTGTGTGCGCGCGCACGCGCGCGTGTGTGTGTGTGTGTGTGTGTGCGTGTGTGGGCGTGTGTGGGCGTGTGTGGGCGTGTGTGGGTGCGCGTGTGTGCGTGTGAGTGCGCGTGTGAGTGTGCGTGCGTGAGTGTGTGTGTGTGTGTGTGTGTGCGTGTTTTTGGTGTGTATGCGTGTTTGTGTTTGTATGTTTGTATGTTTGTCGTGTGTGTTTGTGTGTTTGTATGCTTGAATGTTTTTGTGCTTCTTGTTGTTGTGTTCGTGTGTGCTTGTGTGTTTGTGCTTTCGTGTATGTTTGTGTTCGTCTATGTACGTGTTGCGTGCGCTCGCGCGTGCGTACGTGCGCGCGTGTGCGCTTGACTGCGTGCATGCACGTGCGCGCGCGCGCACATACGAACGGGCACGCGCACACGAACGCTCACGCGCATGCACACACACACACACCTGCACACTCACCTGCGCATTTGTAGGCACACGCGCCCGCACACGCACACGCACACGTCTGTGCTTGCGTCCACGCTTGCGCCCGCGCCAGCGTCCCTGCGCACGCGCACGCGCACGCTCATGCGGACGCGCACGCGCACACGAACGCGCACGCGCACGCGCACGCACCTGCACACGCACCTGCACACGCGCAGGCACATGCGCACTTACACGCGCACGTGCACGCACATGCAGACGCGCACGCGCACGTGCACGCACACCCGCGCATGTGCACGAACATGCACACGCATACGCAGACGCAAAGGCACAGGCATCCACATGCACCCCCCCCCCTCCGCCCAATCTGTCGTTTGTGTTTTTCAGGGTTTTCATGTGACATAGTTGTCTGTCTTTTTTGGCGCCTGGTGCTACATAGCCTGACATATTGGATTTCCCAAAGAGCTACTTTGGTCTGCATTGAGACGAGGAGATTCAGATCCATGGAGAGGTCAGCCTCAAGAACAATGTGCAGCGACTCGCTGCTCGGCCGAACTCGCTTCTGGATCCATTGTGGATACGCCTCCGCAGTTGAGAGCAGGCCGTAAAGTGTTCGGTATCAATGGTGTACCCTTGGGTAATCTACGATTTGGGATGTGTTTTTTGAGGGTACCCATTGGTGGATTTAACGCCAAACCAAAAGGAAAGTTACCATTTTGGAGCGTCCCCTACACACACACACACCGATTTGCCTCTCTCAACTTCAGTCTAAAGCTCCAGACTTTCTACTGGTAGTGCATGACTTTTCTCTCTAAAGCTCTGCGCATCACTGTGCTCAAAGCCAGTTGCTTCTCAAGTGAACGAGAGCGAGGGCGAGACTGTTCTACGCAAGTCCTAGCTGCCGCAGGTGGCGAACCGCAAGTATTTGGACCGCAGCAAGGACTGATAGACCTTGCAAACGCTTTTTTGGGCTGTAGACAAATGGACTGAGGGGAGGCACTTGCTGGGTTTTGAGGAGAAAGCCGGCTCTTGTTTGAAGGTGGTTCTTGGAACGTGTCACGCAAAGGACCTATCACGGGCCCCATCTTGAGCATCTTCAAAGCCATGTTGGAAACTGCCAGTTTGAAGGATATCTCATGTTTTCCCAAGCGGAAGCTTCCCCCAAAATAAATGTGGCTTGGACGTCAACCGCCAAGAGCCAAACTTGGAGTCCAACTTAAGCCGATCAACGTCTCGAATGCCTCTTGGTTTGGAGGACAGGGAGTACCTATTGTTCTTCTTCTTCTTCTTATTATTGTTATTTTTATTATTTTTCATGTCCCCTATTTTCCCAGCAGGACTCTGTGAATGAACCACCAGGCCCTTCCGTTGCTTTTGCTCAGATTTCCATGACTAGCTACGGATGCAAACAGAACATATTGCAAGCAAACCAAGCGGGGCTTTCCAACTTTTCCCCTTGCAACACCCTCCCCAGGCGATTCCATGGAAGCTCCTAGAGCTTTGAGGGGCCTTCCGGGGGCAGAGGGAGAGTATTGAGTTGGAGTTCCCTACTGTGGGCAAAAGTCATTTCGCACTGCGAAACCATGGCTGAAACCATTGTTTGCTGGTATTTGCGGGGGAATCGAATCATTCCAGGGATTCTTAGGTGCAGAATTTGGTCCGTCCGCAATCTCGTGGTGTGTTTTTGGGAGCGAGGACGCGCGTTCCTGGGCCATCATCGTGGATGGCTTGGGTGCGGCGGAAGGCACCTACGCGCGCACCGGTGCGGACAAGGGCGCCTCCATCTTCTCCCAGAGGCCACCGACCGCGCCCGGGTGGGGGGGTGGGGGGGTTGGCCCACTGTGGTTGGGTCACTCTGTTTTTGAACTTGGGGCTGGTTGGGGTGGCAAGGAAAACCTGAAAAAGGAGTCACCACATCAGGGTTGGCCCACAGGACTGGGGGAGGACAGAGGCTTGGATGCCGCGTAGCGGAGCGAGGCGGCGCTTGGCGCTTTGCCCTTCCCTTAGCCGAATGCCCGGACTCCGAAGGCGGATGCGGCATGGTCAAATTGCCAGGCAAGAATAAGTTGTTTCATCATTGACATCAACAGATGCCAAAGGATGCAAATAAATACAGCAGACGGAGAGATGGAACTTTCCTATGAGGTGGGATCTTGCAAGAGCCCAATAGGCAGTAACACATACACACACAATCATTGTTTACCCAAGATTAGTCATCCCTTGATTGATTTTGACCTGGGGTTGTAAAGCAAACCAAAAAGGGGCCAGGTTGTTAAATTCCATGAGGCGCAAGGGAATATGTGCACATCAAGACACGGGATCCATGATGCTTCTGTCCAAACAATGAACACGAGGCTGTGGCAAAAGCACGGACCCAAACAGCTTTAGACGTGGTCCTGCGTCCTATGGCCGCCATCGGGCCTTGTAACCCAGTGTTCCCGTGCCAGGGATGGCCCACACGTGATGCTCTGCGATATGGCCAAAAAGATTTGGAAGGCACGGCGCCTGTAGCCTAAGTCCATTCGCTCGGTGTTCGAATGGAGAGCGAGAACCATGCTGTTCAAGGTTGACCCCTGAATTTGATGGGAAGGGCATCGGAAGAACAGTGGGTGCTTGATATGGATGGAACCATATCAGCATTCTTTTTTTTCTTGGGGGTCGTAAAGTGCCCAATGCCATCCTATGAACCCGACCTGAGAGTATTCTGTGGTGTACATGAGCCCACCGTGTTGCATATGAATCGCTTGGGACCAGGGGTATGGTATGGGGTATCTCGCTGTCGCTCTTCAGCCATGCGACGGTACACCTCGGGTTGCCTCACTCCCTGAGGTCCTGGACTTCGCATTTTTTGGGAAGACCGTTTTAGTGGCAAGTACAACGTTCGGGCTCTTTGGCCAATCAATTCAGAAAGTGAGTTACCCATCCAGGTTGAAGGGTGAGATTGGACTTCACTGTGAATACTCTGATTGGTACGGATATCCGGAAGATTGACTTTGGGAGCGATGAACTTGGCCAGCTCAGGATCTTTTGCGCCATGACTTGTTGCGTTGCCCCTGCTGAATGTTCTGGTTGTGGGGTTTTGACGTTCCTGTGTTCGCGGAGGACTAATGCCGCAAAAGAATGTGCTAGTCGTAAGTTTGTGTAGACCCCACGTGAGGCTAACCCTCGCCAAACTGCCCAACCATGCCGACTCTTTTCGACTGTTTTCGCTTCAGGCTAAAGGATCAAGACGCACCCGAATTTTCTCGCTTTTTGGCTACTTACTGGTTTTTGACGGTTTTTTGGCCTTCCAAAATCACCCACTGTGGTTGCTTTCCTTTTACCAATCTTTGATGGTAAATGAATGAGGCCAGGCTTGCCTCAGCAAGTCATGTGTACGATACTTGTCCGGGCAATCATGATGACCTGGCTGGGTCCTGAAGGAGAGATCCATAACCGCATGGCACTCTGCTGACAGTAGATAGCATGTTTGGCCCTAGGTCCCGATTTGCGAATCCCCGTGTTTATATAGGGACCTCAAGATCCCGCAGCTCTGCAGGTTGTCCCGAAAGACAAGACCGATGAGATCCTCGCGTCTGCACCGCTGGAGGACGTGGGTCGAATTTGTTTCAGGGCCTAAATCCTTAGAATGGGGTTGTGGGGTCCTGTACAAGCAAGTTACCTCAATATCATTGGAGGATCATGAGTCTAATTATTGAGCCCCTTACATCACTTCCAGTGACCTTAGAGTTCATCAATGGGAGCCCAGGAATTTGACAGGGGGTGCCATCCCCACCAAAAGCGGCCCCCACAAACGAAAGCCGGGGTTTATCAATCAGGGCTTCGCTACTACACCTGGTTTCGATACATTCAAATGGCGACGCTTGGTTGGCACATTGCGGTGGGAGTTCTGTTGCATTTCCTGTCAACCTTGCCTGTGGGCCTCTCCTGACAAATTCTCCTGGAGCCAATCTTTGTCAGTGTGAGTAAGCGCAAGTTTACCCAGCATGTTTCAAGCACATGGGCAGCTTTCCTTCTTGCAACAAGTGGTGCCGGCGGGGCTTACTGCGCCTGATGTACAAGGGAAGTCCAGCTGGTGATGCTGATTTTTCCTTTGAGCGTAGGAGGGGCGCCTTATGGACCCTCCCCGCTCGGGATGGATGGTACCGCCGGAGAGCCGCGGGTCGGTGACGCAGGCATAGGGTGTGTAGGGTGTGTGGGAGATTGGTGACTGGAGGGAGTGGGAGAGAGTGAAACGCGGGGCAGGCGGTCATGCTGCGATACTTTGATTGGGCGGATGTAGTTTTGCCCGGCCAGTTGCATGACTGGCTTCGACATATTGACAATGGCATCCCTCAACTTAGCATGTTCAGTCAACTCAACCCACCACAGGCTAGCTGAGCTCAGTCTCACAACAAATGGCAGATTGAAGCCTGTTCATATTTGCAAGCAGGTATCCCTGCTGTATTCCTGCTCCTTCTAACCGTGTCAATTTCTTTGCCCTGGTGGCTAGTGTACGTGTTCATCAATAAATCGTGCCCGCATGTTTGACCAATGACTGGTCCAACTTGGCGTACTAAAGAAATCCCGCTCACTCTACACTTTAACTCTGCTCGTATTCATAGCCAATGGTGGTGTGCTATTGGACCTGCAAACTGAACCCCTCCTCAGACACACCCAAGTTGGCATATACGTATATGCATGTAATCTGTACAACTACACATGTGAATATATACACATGATATACATGTATACATATAAACACTGATCTGCGCGATTGTAGTGCATGTGTACACACAATCTGTCTCATCCGATCAATGCCTAAGTTGAGGATCACACGACATAATTCTCCCGAATGCCGCAGGCGGTCTTCAAGCAAGCAATGAAGGAGCGAGCCGGCCGGTTGGGCGGGGTGCGGGAGTGGGCTGGTGGTAGGGCCAGAGGTGACGGGGGCCGAAGAGTGGGTACAAGTGCTGCGGGAAAGCTTCCAGAATCAGATGAGACGCCAAGAAGAGCATAGGCATAGAAGAAGAAGAAGAAGAAGACGAAGAAGAAGAAGAAGAAGAAGAAGAAGAAGAAGAAGAAGAAGAGAACACCTCCGTTCTTCCAAGCTGTTGATAGGGAATCCGCTAACTGCCTGACCTGTTCCCAGACTCACCACCTGTTAAAAGACCCTTTCGCTGGCACCTTTCTCTCAGCTTGGAAAGATTGCCCCATAGGCTTGCTGCTAGGCTCCCGTCCCAGTCGATTGTCCTCTCAGGAGGTGGGTGTCAGCGACACAGACTGCAGCTTGGCCCATCTCCTTGTGACATAAAGCCAAGAGGCCGCTGTGGACGTAACAGTGGAATTGCTGCCGTGCTCTCGCAGATTCATCAACCCGTTGGACAGACTCGGATGGATTGTTCCAGTGGGACTTTGGCATCATACTTGGCCCCCTTGCCTTCGCATGCCCCGCTGTGTCTATGGGCCCCACATGCGAATCCGTCCGAAGTCGCACTCGGCTGGCGCCTGAGGCAAGACGTTGATCACCGCCTTGGGGAGCGACTCCAAGGCGGGGCTTCGGCGGCTCGTGGGCGTGGGCCCCGCTTCCGGGGCAAATGAGTTGGAACTGGGTCAAACCATCCGGGACAGCCAAGCTCTCCTCTACTTAGAGATTACGATGTCGATCTGCTGAAAAACCAGGTTGCTCCAGAACCAAAAGCCAGGCACCCTTCTGGTCCCTAATGACCCTGGAGCTCAAAGTTGAGGAGAGGGCAGAAGGTGACTGACGTTTGGCAGTTTTGAAGAAGGAAGCCATAGTTTTTGACACAGATGCAAGCTTGGCAAGTAAACCGACCAGAAGCCCTTCTCTGCTTATGTGTTTGTTGTCGTTTTGTGGCTGTGGTTGTTGTTGTTGTTGTCCATGTGGTGGTGATGGCGGGCCAGCAACAGCGGTGGTGGTCGCTGTCCTGCGTTGGTCAGACCCATGATGTCTACGGTTAAGCTCCCTGGAACAGCTGGTTGTGTCTCTTAGGAGACCCCCTGTTTTGATGGTTTAAAAGAAGCCAAAGGGAGAACCCACTCCATTTTTTCTGTCCAAGTCCGAAAAAAGGGAACCGCACCCAGCTCAACGGTGGGGGCTGATGTCTCCTCTTCAGGTGTTCCGCTTCCGACAGAAGACAAGCTTCGTGGCGGAGTGGGCGAAGCTCAAGCATGCCAAGACGGCAGAGGAGGCGAAGAACGAATTTGGGTGCTGCTCATTCAGTCGTCTGGCCGCGTCTTTCTTTTTCTTTTCTTTTTTCCCGGACGCATGCGAAGGGTTTTTCTTCTAAGAACTGCTGCAAACTTCGCCTGCCAGCTTCTCCTGCTAACTTTGCGAATGTTACTGGACTATCCTAAAAGCACAAGCCGCAAGCTGCGACTAGCATCCCAAATGCACGAGCAGCAAAGTAAGACAGCATTTCGGGTTTATTGTAAACGCTTCGCGTTGCCCGCCTCGGCCAGTCCGCTTTTGGCTGGCTTTGAGGTATACACCGTGCTTTAGTTTGCCTTGAAGTCTTGTGTTTGTGTGAGCTGGTTTCGAGGTAGAGGGTGGGTGCATGTCTGCATGTTCCCGCATGGCTTCACGCGCCAATAACGAGAGCTGCAGCAAGCAAAGGTGAATTTGATTGGGTTTTGGGGGGATTTGGGCCTGTTTTAGAGTGGATTTGGCAGGTTTCTAGAGGGGAGCTTGATCGGTTTCTACCGTTTTTTAGGGGATTGGCTTCTGGAGGGGAATTTGTCCGGCTGTAGGGGATTTTGCCCGGTTGAGGGGGAAATTTGACCGGTTCGAGAGGGATTTGGCCGGAGTTGGACCAGTCTTCAGATGACTGGTCTAGATGTGAAGTTTCGACGGTTTTAAGAGGGGATTTGCTCAGTTGGGCTTTCTTGAAGGAATTGGGCCGCTTACCGGCCCTGGGCCTTCCAAGCTTGCTTCAGGCGGACTGGAGGTAGCTGGGGCAGGGATTTTGGCTGTGCGACAGGGGGGCAATTCAGCGCTTTCGCTTTTCGCAAAATCAGTCAACAGCTAGCCCCACGAAGGTCGAGGTGAACCGCCTGAGGCGATGAGGTGCTTTCACAGGGCTGCTCTCTGCATTTAACTTCTTGAGCCTTACCGAGCTTGACAGTTTTCTTATGTGCTGGCGAACAGTTTACGTTTTGCAGAAGCCGGCGGCGACCAAGTTCAGTGGTGAGCTGCCGGGTTGGGGGGGGAGAAGGGCAGCGCAATCTTGGGTGCGCGCCTTCTCACCTTCTGTGCGACCCGAACGAAGGCGGCGAACACGCAGAGCTTGAGCTGCGTGGTCCGGCCACGCGCGGGGCAGCGCGATGTGGTTAGACGGGGACGGAGGGTTAATGCTGGAAGACGGAAGGGCAACGGTTAAAGCGCTGCGGATTCTGATGGAGGCCATGGGCGCGCATCTGTTTCCATTGCCCTTTCCTTAGCTTGCCCCAGCCAACATCCTAGGTGTAGCTTAGCTTTCTTCACCCGCACCGCAACAGGAGTATGTGCAGGCCACAGCTTTCAAGCAACCTTGTGGATGTGCCTGTCGCTGGGAGGGGAGCTACGACTAGATCAGTGTTGCGCGGCAGTGGTGACCTCGCACAAGGGCATCGTGAAGGCTTGCGGGCAGTTGGCCGCCAACCCGGCCACAAATCGAGTCATCAGCTTCCTGGACAGCCCGTGGGGGGCAGCGCCAAGTTTGCAACCTGATGGTTGTTGGTGTTCATGGCACGGACCGCGGTTTTGAAACGGACGGTTGTTGGTTTTCAGTTTGCGCCGCCGCTGGTGTTAACAGAAGTGCATGGCTTGGCGCAAGCCATGCCCAAGATTCAGGCATCATGGAACGCCATATGCTTGCCCGAGATCTTTAGAAGATCAAGAGCGCCAGCGTCAAAGACGCTATGCAGTCGAGGGAAGCTGATGCATGGTGCTCACGCTGCCAGACAAGGAGATGGAGGATCCTTTTAACAAAGGCGCCGCGTGAGGCTGCCAACGCGCAGCTAGGTGACGCGCGCTAGTTCTCGACAACTTCGCAGATGCTGAGCAGAGTTTGTCGCGCGCACCCCCCCCGGCCGGCGCGTGGTCTTTGTGATGGGCGAGTGGTATGTGCAAATTTCGTGGCAGGCGCAGCGCTTTCGCAAGGTCAGGTGCAGATTTTGTGCACCCGCGGCTCCAGAGATGATAGGTCGATAGATAGATAGATAGATAGATAGATAGATAGATAGATGTGATAGATAGATTTGTAGATCGATAGCGGCTTCTTTCAGCTCACAGCATTAATGCTTATATCAAGTTTGCAGCTTGCTAAATATGTTTGCTCGATGGCCAGTGTTTGCGTGTGTGGCTGTTGCCTGGGTTCGAACTGGGCGATTCCAGATTCATCGCGATCTCGCTACATGTTCGTCATTACTGTTTTTGTATGCTTCCGGGCCATGAGTCATCTTGTGTTGTTTTTTTAATTCTTCTTCTTCTTCACTTGCTGATCTTCATGCCTTTTTGAGAGGATTCCTTTTGCAGAACGGTTCAGGCCTTTTGTGCAATGCGTTTAGGAAGGGCAGTTGCTGACACTTCTGGATTCAAACAAAATAGTTGTTTTCAAAGAGAAAACCAACATTTTAGGGGACCCCTCCCCCAAAGTCAAACTCAGATCTGAGCTCGGAACAGTCCTCAACCTAAAACTTAAGACACCGGTCGGCGGGTAAGTGCCCGAAATCGCTAAGCTTGAAGCCATGTTTGAACCCTTTCGTGAACCTGCACTGCCCGTTGGAACGACCTTTCAGCGCCAACTCAACCGATTTGTCCCTGTCGACCAAGAGCAGGTAGCCCCCTTCCGCATCGACGCTCTATGCCGTGCTGGTATGCGCAGGCAGCCCTTGGACACACCGGCTTGACATTTGTTTGGCTCAGCTAACCTTGCCTTTTCTGCTTCCTTAAAAAAAGACATCAATTTCCCATTGAGCATGAACGTGTCTGTGTTTTTGTGGGGTCCTTTTGGATGGGTTATGCAAGTGAAGGGTGACAGATCTTGAACCCTCCCAATCTGAGGGTCGAAGCTGAGTGGCCTTAGATTTGCACGCTCTTTCGCAGGCTTGGGCTGCTTGCGTGTCAACAGTGCAGAAGGCCTTGATGCAGGACGCAAGGGTTTCAGAAACATGGCAGTCTGCCTATGCTTTGCTGTTGCTGCTGCCGACGCTGCTGCTTCCGCCTGCGCTCTTGCTCTGTTGTTGTCGCGTTTCAATCGTTTGCATTGTGTGGTTCTCCAAGCAAATTTCAAAGGTTGCGTCACGCTTGCGGCTGCTCGTTGCAGTCGTTCGGCTCATCCATGGCTTCTCCATGGATGGGTCCCGCAAGCAAGAGCACGTGATGCGGCTAATTATAGACTTGCCGCTCAATGACCATCTCCGGCAGGAGAAAGTTCGCAGTCCAGACAAAATTATTGCTTGGACTTCTGCCCTCAACCAAGAGTCACGTCTTTTTGGAATTTCTGGGTCGGGCGGGTTGTCTGGTTATGTCGGCTTGGAATCAATTGTGCCGCCCTTTCGAGGAGCATGGCATTGCCGATGGCAAGGTCTTTGAGACGCAGCACCCTTATCCGGCAAAGAGCCGGGGGCCGCAGAGGGGCAGAGGGCAAGTTGTTGGAAAGCTAATTGTGGGCCATGGGTTTCCTTAGCCTTTCAAGAGCTCATGGTGGGTTTCTTCCGTCATACAGGGGATGAAGCCGGTGAAAATGCATGCCGACATTTGGAGCACGTAGATGGTGACAACACTGTGAGACCTGTCGCAAGGTGTTCCATGTTTTCCAAAGTCTTTTGGCCTTGTTGGTTCACGCTATCCGTAGACTGCCCCGCATTGGTGTCCTTTGGTCAAGCTCGCCACAAAGAGCCAGCCGTTTGTTGCCAAAATCCCCCCTCCCTTTCATCATCCACCTGCAACTTGAAGCTCCCAAGGAGCCAGCATGCCCTGGGCTTTTTCTCCGTGTGGGGCTCACACCTCCACAAGAGTAAGGGTTCAGAGGGCATATCCGCCAATGCGGGTGTGTTCTCCCCTGCATAAAAGGGACACCAAGAGGAAACCGAAGCCTTTTGGGAAAGTTCAATATCCGTTCTACGAGACAGACCCATATAGAGGAGCATGGGTACCCCATGATACCATCATCCTGAAGGAAGCATACAAAACCAAATTGTTGGACAGGCACCTGGCACCTCAGAATGATGCCAATTGCAGGCCTCCACATGTCATGTCAATGCAGGATCCGGGCCAAAATGAAATAGGATTTCTCATCCCCAAATCCACATAAAGCATGTGATGCTACAGCTCCCAGATATGAAGCTGGCTCTGCTGGAAGTCTGCGCGACAAAGGCTTTCTATGGATTCCAAACGCTCGGTCCCCCAAACAGTCTGCAAGCGGGACCATCCTCGTGCACAAATCCAAGCATAGCAAACGCGTGTTCGAGAGTGAAACAAAGGAGCTGGAAGGAGAGACGTTTGTCTCAAACGAGGGCCCAAAGAAAAGAATTCTTCTCTTTTGGTTTTCCTTTGTTTTCAAACCCGGTGAACCGCGCATCCTCCCACCAAGACACGGCCTCAAAAAGACTGGGACCCCATCGATCGAATCGATGGCCCGAATCGCTGAGGTGCGCGGCATTCCCAGACGGTGAAGCTCGAGGGCTGCGAGAGGCTCCAGGCCGCGGCTCGTGGGGGCTCGCGGGGGGGGGGGTGGGGGCTTGGGGGTGGCTTCTCTTGGGGGGTTGGTGGGTATTTTGACACCAATAGCGACAAGGGGCTGTGAAAGGCGGCTGGGTTTTTTCTTTTGGTGTCTGAAGGGCTTCCAAAAGGAAGCAGTGAAACCCGCGGTGGTTTTGGGGTCTATTTTGAGAGCTGGGGGTTGGGAACCAACCCTTGAAATTCAATGCGGCCGGGCGGGGGAACTGGGGATTTGTGGGGACCCCTACCTCCAAACCACCGGGCGCAACAGAAGCTGAATCCTGGCTCCAACCAGGGCGTCTTTTTTCCGGGAACGTGATGCCAGAAAGGGCTGTCTTGGGGCTGACTTGCCAAACGTTTCATGGCAAGCGGACGCCAGCACAGGATTTTGTCGGTAAGGCGGCCGCGTCAGAACTTGAAACTGACGACACCACCAACCGCATGCAACATTTTGTAAGCAATATGGGCATGATTTTTTTATTGGGGACCCTGTGGTGGACATACTTTAGGTGGGACTTTGTGTCCATCAACCACTTTTGAGGGGGTTGCATCTATACATGTAAAGCAATGCAAGAGGTCATTTCAGAGCCACCCCAGGTTCACCGTTATAGGTTTGTGTCAATCGGATCCTAGCGCGGGTTGTGCTTGGCACGAATGCGAGGACTTGGGGCTTTGTTCAGATATTTCTTTGGGCCATGTTCGATTGCTCCAAGCGCGTACCCTTCAGATATACAGCGCAGTCTCGTGAGTGTTCTCCAAGACCTTCGCGCCTTAGCGCCTCCGGTCCTGGGGCGTGCATTCTGTTGCCGCCAAATCCAGCCCATGTCCCCCACAGATTGGAAAGGGCACAACGCAACTTGCCTCGCCCTCGCTTGTAGCTCTATCATGACATTGTTGGAGGTGGAACATTATTGGTTGGGGATGGGACTCCTCCTGACTTTGGCTCAGGATTTTTGACAGGTGTTGTCCCCCCGAGGTGCTGAATATTGCATTGAGCTTTCGCGACAATGCTTTTACCAGATCGCTAGGTAGCTTATCGAATTGGCACTCGAACTGGAAGTTGCCCAGAGGCCCTCTAGCCACATGTCCAGATCACTGGTCTCGGGCCTTAGAAGCACGTGAGGTGACTTTCTCCAATAAGTGCCGCACCTACGACTCCTGCGCTAATTTCAGTGGCCTGGCTGCAAATCCGGGGTCAGACCTCTGGAAGAGGTCTGACCTTCGAGGACTTTTGCTTTTTTGGAATAGCTCACTGTTGTTTTTCCAATTCTCGCAGATTCGTGTTTTTTCCCCTCTCTTTTTTTGCAGTCCTTCCAAGAATGTGCTAGACTCTTCTCGAGTCAAGCAGCACATCGGGCCCCATCCTTTATTGAGGCTTATGTCCACAAAGGTTGATGCCCCTGTGTGTTCATTCCTTTTTCTGGGCTTTTGAGGATGATTATGTTGTCCGGTCACATCTTTCCATTCGGGGTGCGGCCAAACGCTGCGCTTGGTTTCTCAAACTCATGGGGAGGTGTGAAAGCCATCCGGGATCCGACTTGATCTGAGACGGCCAGTTGGCCCCCAAAACGCGCCCATTTTGGGCAAGACTAACCTCAATCAACACTGGAGGGCCGGGCTGGGCGCTCTTCCGGAGCACTGCTGTGCGCAGAGCAATATGTTTTTTGGGCACTCCATGTGTGTCGTTTTGTTCGGTTTCCTTGCGAAGCCTCCAGAAAGGTCTATATCAGACCATTGAAGGAGTGGTCAACTGAGCCAGTCAAATCGTAGTCCGACACCTGCAGATCGTGTCAAAGCAATTGGGAAGCAATCTGTGGGAACCGTTTCTTTTGGAAAAGGGGAGAGAAACCCTGTGGAATCGTGCCGTGCTCATGGGCTATCCAAGGCTAAAAAGCTTGCCTCTTGCCTTTGTGTGAAAGAACATACTCAGAGTGCACACGCCTGAGGTCCGAGTCAGCCCTGTGCTCCAGTGCACTGCTTCTCTAGAAACTGCTATTTTTCGCTAAATGCTAACCTTCTGTGAGCAAGACACATGAGCACTTGTCCGCGAAACCGGGAATCTCTTGAGGCTACCAAGAGATGCTGAATTCGCCGTTTCCACCTTGGGACACTTCTTGATCATGCCTTGGGAATGAAAGTGGAATAAAGCTCAGATGGGCTGTGAAACCTTCCGGAGAGCAAGCCGAATACCAAAGATGTGTCCTTCAGTTAAACTGAGGCAAATCGAGTGTTTCAAACCGTGCCCGGTATTGGGCTATCCACCATATTTTTTGCTTTTTCAAGGCTCCCTCTTGCTTGTTTCTTTTTGCGGTTTCGTTTCGTTGGCCTGAGCGCCCTGAGACAACCCATAGTCCGTTCCACTTTTCACAATGAGTCATTCGGTCGCCCATGAGCTCCGAGTGATTCGGAGCATGTTCAAATAAGCTGTGGGTCAACAAAAAGCGCAATGCCGAAATGAAACCATGGGAAACGGAACCAAGGACTAAAACCTGCGGTCCCCGGCCCGTGGTTCAATTTTGACTCCTATCCATTCGGGGAAACCGCGCGGATTCGGACCCATGTGGAGTCCCTCGCGGACCCGTTCTTTGGAGCTCCGAGGCATCCGCGCCGGGTCCCTGAGCAAGGCCACTGCTGGAGTGGGCGCCCGCATTCAGGCTCAGGCGGGGGCGATGTCAATGGAATCCACAAGTTCTGTGGGCTGGGAGGGCATGCGGCAAGCCGCCCACGTGCAGAATTAGTCGCCCACCCATGGACCAGGAAAAGTGTCTGGCATGAAACGGCCCAACCCCGGCATATCAGGGGAAAATAGGTCTCACACTCGGCCTATGTTGTGAGCAGAGAGGTTCCAAGCCCTAGGATGGCACGCCTGACTCTAGCTCTCACTGCTAGGTCTCCCACTCAAAATGGGCAACCAACAAAAGGGAGCCCCCTCTTTCAAGCGAAGGAGTTGCGGTGGGTGCCCTGCGGTTTAACAGAAGGCCATAAATCAGAACGGCATGCCCCGAACATATATGGGGCAACGATACAGCTCGATTTCAATGGTGCGGCGCCATTCTTTGAGCGTAAGATATGATGCTATTTTCGGCACAAAGTGATCGCTTCTGTTTTGACCAAGCATAAATCACCGAGCCATCCAAACAACTTGCTCGCCATCAATCATACCCAACAAACTGCCCCAGGAGCGATGCTTTGATGGGGCTTCATCAAAAAGGTTGCCATGGGGTGGGCTATTGAAACCTGCCTGAACCACGATCACATTTTCAGCGCGACTGGGCCGTAATTCCCTTCCTGAGTTGGACTTTGATTTGACTTTTGAGAAGACCATGATGGTCAACAACCGGTTTTGCGCGTTTTTGGTCGGGAAGCCGGTTTAGGAAGCCTGCGGTCCAACTCATGAGAAGCAAAAGCCCCGAGGGTCTTCGTTTCCCCTTGGGCAGGTGGGTTATTGTCACGTCTGGAACCCCCAAGGGTTCTAGTTCTTGTTACATTGTTCCACTGTTCAGGGCACTGGTTTAGCGCACCTACTCAGAAAGTGGGGGAACCCGTTTTGGGCCGTTTTGAATTGGAAGCCGGCCATACACGGGGCCGAATAACAGTTTTTTCCCATGGTCATGTCATGATTGAGCCTGATGTTTATGGCCCCCCGAACCCCCATTCTAACTATTAACCCCAAACTAGAGTACTCCTGCACCCTTAAACCACCCAATCTTTCGAGCAACCCCCCCCCCCGTCTGCCCAGCTGCTTTTTTTTGTTTCTCGAGCAGGCGTTTGCCAGCTCCGCGAGCATCCACGGGACCTTGACTGGCCGCCTCGAGGGTGACAAGTGGAGCGCCCGCCGCTGGCCTTTGTTATTGTACCGAACGTGAGGTAAGGGAAGGGAAAGGCGTGCGCTGGTGTGCCCGTTTTGAAGAGGGCCGGGGATTATTGTAGTAGGGCCATCGTACATACGTGTGTACGTAAGTACGTACGTACATACATTACATTACATTACATTACATTACATTACACTACAGTACGATACGTTGCATTGCATTGCATTGCATTGCATTGCATTGCAACGCATGGCATTGCATTGCATTGCATTGCATTGCATTGCATTGCATTGCATTGCATTGCATTACATACACATACATACATACATACATACATACATACATACATACATACATACATACATACATACATACATACATACATACATACATACATACATACATACATACATACATACATACATACATACATACATACATACATACATACATACATACATACATACATACATACATACATACATACATACATACATACATACATACATACATACATACATACATACATACACACTTACATGCTTACATACTTACATACTTACATACTTACATACTTACATACTTACATACTTACATACTTACATACTTACATACTTACATACTTACATACTTACATACTTACATACTTACATACTTACATACTTACATACTTACATACTTGCATACTTACATACCTACATACTTACATAAATATATACATACATAAATACATACATACATACATACGTACGTACGTACATACATACATACATACATACATACATACATACATACATACATACATACATACATACATACAACACATCACATCACGCTACGCTACGTTACGTTACGTTACGTTACATTTTACATTACTTTAAATTACATCACATTACATTACATTACATTACATTACATCAACCTACCTACCTACCTACATGCATACATACATACATACAGACACAGACACAGACACAGACACAGACACAGACACAGACACAGACACAGACACATACACAGACACATACACACATACATACACACATACATACATACATACATACATGCATGCATACATACACACATAAGCAGACATGCAGACATACATACATGCATGCATGCAGGCATACATCCATCCATCCATCCATCCATCCATCCATACATACATACATACAGACACACACACACATACACACATACATACACCCATACATACGTACATACATACATACATACATGCATGCATGCATGCATGCATACATACATACATACACACATAAGCAGACATGCAGACATACATACATGCATGCATGCAGACACACGTAGACATACATACATACATGCCTGCATGCCTGCATGCATGCATACAAACGTACACAGACATACATACATACATGCATGCCTGCATGCATGCATACAAACGTACACAGACATACAGACATACATACATGCATTCATGCATGCATGCAGGCATCCATGCATCCATCCATCCATCCATCCATCCATCCATCCATCCATCCATCCATCCATCCATCCATCCATCCATCCATCCATCCGTCCATACATGCTTACATACATACATACATACATACATACATACATACATACATACATACATACATACATACATACATACATACATACATACATACTTACACGCACATATGTTTGATGCTTCCTTCCAAGGGGCGCATAACCCTGGGTTGATACTGCGACCCTTCTTGGCCACGGGGGTTGAACTCTTGAAACACGGCCAAGCGGGCGCCTCAAGCCTTTGGGGCCATCGCGCTCAAAGCGAGCTTGGAAGATTCGGGAAGCCTCGAGTCTCGTTTTGGGTTCTGAAAGGGGACATGGACCACAAAAATGGTTCCCAGTGATTCCATGTCCCTGTGTAGGTAACCAAGGGATCCTGGCTTTAAAGACCAAAGGGGCAATGGCTGGTTACCTATATAGGTAACTTGAACCCGTTTGGGTTGGCTTGCCTAACCAGCCCCCAGAAAGGGTAACTCCAAAAAACAACAGACCCTTGGAACCCAGAAGAAAAAACGAGGCATCGACCACGACGAGGTGGAGATCTCCGGGCAGTTCCGGGAGTGGCTGGAGGCTCGCTGATTTTTTCGCGACTTCACTCGCTTTTCATGGCTTTCACCAAGCTACGTGTTTTTTGCAGGGGGTCCAGTTCTTGTCCTCTTTTTTTTGTTCCCGGAAGAGAAAGTGGCCAGAAGCTTGGCACATATGGATAGGTGGTGAAAGAATGTGCCTAACTCTTTGAGAAGTTCCACAATATAAGCTATTTCGGCAAGCAAGCTAAGGAGAAAACACGTACATGTCAATTCACTTGGTCCCTCAATTTATGTTTGTTGACGCCCATCCAAAAGATGGCCTTCTCTCATCTAGCGAGGCATCTCTATGTTCAGGGCGCTGAAAGCTTCCGTTTCCTCGACAGACCAGGCAGACACATCGCGGCAGAGTTTTGTGATCCTGGCGAACGAGGTGAAGACTGCGTGCGCCTACTATGAAGATTCGCAGGCCTTGGGGCGTTGGGGGGGGGGGGGGACTAAATAATTAGTGGTCCGTTCAGCTGCTTGGCATTCTTTTGGTTTCCCTTTAAATATCAAGCAAAAGGGGGTCCTCCATTTTGAGAAGCACTTATGCAGTTCAGACATCACCGTAGAGCCGCGGGGGTTGTGGAATCACTTGGAGCTGGGAGTATCGGCTGCATGTTTAGCAATGGTTACAATGGCCTCGGGTCTCACGGGAGGTTGACTTGTGGGGTAGATACGGGAGTGGCAAGTAAACCAAGCCAGAAGTCTGGCAAACACGACACGAAGCGGCAAAGCACAACTCATACTGACTGAGACTGGGGAATGCCTCCGTACGAAGTCCTCTTTGATAGGCGACCGAGTCTGCACAATGTTCATATCTTTTTCATATCACACTCATCCCAATGTACTCAACATTGATACGCAGCATGATGCAGTATTCTTCTGACATGGTACAAGTATCACCATGAAGTCCAATTGCAAAGTTTAATTCACACGTTGGTGATTTGGAGGACCCCCTTTGCTTCTGGTTGCTTCGGGTGTTGTGGGCTCCGTAGACCAGTCTCTCTAAACCGGAGACAGGCCTTTTAGGTTGCAAAGTCTGCGCAACCAGCACAGGGTTGTTTTTGGGACCCCTGCTCGCCGACCCTCCAAAACAACCTTTGTCATGTTGGCTTTTAACTTAGGAGCCGCAAGATGAGAAGGAATCTAGGAAGCATTTTAAACACCACGTTGCTTGCGCTGGAGAGAGGGTCAGAACTTACATAACCGACTTACGTAGGACATTCAACAGACATTCTGAGGAGTTTTGAGGATGCCATAGCCCTGAACGCGGCCACAATACAGTTTGGGCCGTGGCACACAAGTCTTCAACTGGGTCTGCTTCAGCAGCCCTTCATCCAACCAGACATGTTTGAGGTGGCTCTCATTCAATGACACGCTACCTGAAAGGGAGTGTTGTCAACCGCTTAAGGAACAAGGCAAATCGCCCAGACTGAATGCTTGAGGGATGTTTCCCGACTTGTCCACGAAGTTTGCTTGGCAGGTGCCTTCTTTTGAACGATTGCAACCAAAGACAGAAGCCAAACTCAAAACCGGGAAGTTGGAGGGTAGGGCCAGTCCCAGCCAGAAATGGGTGCTTTGCGCGCCGACGTGCATCTGCGCGTCCGTTGGCCGCGTTCGGGCCTCGCGAAGGCCGGCTCGGAGATCGCGGGCTTCTCGCTGGACATGTCGGCGCCCATGGCGCCCTTCAGCATCGCGGGCTTCAAGAGCGACGGCCCTGCGCAGCAGGACCCAAGTGGCGAGTTGAGGTGAGGTGAGGTTAGGTGAGGTGAGATGAGGTGGAGTGAGGTGAGGTGAGGTGAGGTGAGGTGAGGTGAGGTGAGGTGGAGTGAGGGAGGGAGGGAGGGA